ATGTTTATTTTTATCCATAATATTTATTTTATATATGCAAAACATATCTATATCTTTATTTTTATTTTTATTTATAAACCCAACCAGACGAGAAAACAAATGAATATCCCCCCAATAATAATTCTTTATTATAAGTCTCGTTTAAATCCGTTCAACCATACCGCTTTTATTTACTACAATTGTGCGGTTATAAATGTGAGGTCCATTTTAACGAAACTCGTAATTTTTACTAGGTTTTGACGACTAAAAGAGAATAAACAAGGCTAGGGTTCCTACTCTTTTTCTGTCGTGACCGGTGCACAAATGTATAGCCTGTACAGAAGGTATTTGGGTAGATATATGAATATCTTCGAAACATTTTTTTTGTTGCTGCCTTCACTGCTAATATTTCAGCACTTAAAATTAAAGGGGATCGTACTCAGGTTCCTCGACCAGGTATGTTGAATTAAAAGCGAGCGCGTGGACAATGAGTTATCACATCTCTAATTATATTTTTATTTTGGGGGATATTCATTTGTTTTCTCGTCTGGTTGGGTTTATAAATAAAAATAAAAATAAAGATATAGATATATATTGCATATATGAAATAAATATTATGGATAAAAATAAACATATATATATATATATATATATATATATACATATATATATATATATATATATATATATATAAATATTTTATATAATACATATATAAATAGGACCCAACCAGACGGAAGCCCTCGGCAGGGGAGACAAAACGGCCGAGGGTTAGGGCGAAAGGGAGAGAAACCGGCGGACGATGCGGGCGGTATCGAGGAGCACCGCCTTCTGCATTTGAGCCTGGAGCGATCCGTCCCGGAGTCCCAGTCGCCTCAGATGTTTAGAGAGGCTGACTGGGATCAACCCATTCGCAGACACGACTATCGGGATAATTTCGGTCGGCACACCACCCCACATGTCGGTCACCTCGTGAGCCAGGTCCAGATACTTCGTCTTCTTATCTGTTTCGGCTTTCACGAGGTTCTCGTCATATGGAATGGTAATGTCGACCAAAAATACCCGCGACTGTGCCCGGTCCATCAACACGATATCAGGTTTGTTCGCGACAATCGTCCTGTCCGTAATGATGGACCGGTCCCAATAGAGCCTGGCGCGGTCATTTTCGAGCACGGCCTCCGGAGAGTACTTATAATACGGCAGTTTCCGTTCCACGAGGCCGTATTTCAGAGCGAGCTCCTGGTGTAGGATTCTGGCTACTAGGTTGTGTCTATGCAGATACTCAGAGTTAGAAAGCATGGAACAACCGGAGATAACATGCCGAAGCGACTCCCCGGGATGGCGACAAGCTCGACAGATGTCGACGGTGCCATCCTTTAGGATGTATCTCCGATAGTTGTTCGTCTTAATAACCTGATCCTGTATCGCACAGACAAAACCTTCGGTTTCCCCAAAGAGGTCACCGAAACGTAGCCAGTTAAGGGAGGCAACAGTATCTACGAAAGGCTCGTGTAGAGCCTTGTAGAACCTCCCGTGGAGCTCTTTCTCCTTCCATACGGCCTCTCGGTCGGAAACGCTCAGTACTCCCGGGTCCTGCCATTGCTCGTTGGCTAAGGATAGAGGGGTAAGTCCTTTATCACAACTAATGACGTCCGTGTAGATTGACTCATCCGATCTCGCCAGGAAGTAGTTGCGGAGGCTGCACACCTCGCGATTGTGCACGGTAAGGGCGCTCAAAAAGCCCCTCCCGCCATGCTTCCGCGGCAGGTACAGCCTCATCACTGACGATCTCGGATGATGCATTCTGTGGGACGTCATAGTTGTGCGGACTTTTCGGTCCAGGGCATTGAGCTCAGTTTGAGTCCACCTGAGTATGCCAAAGGTATACATGAGGACTGGCATGACCCAGCCGTTAAATGCGCGTGCCTTGTTCACGCCTGACAAATGGCTGTCAAACACCTTTGTCAGGCGTGCAAAAAACACATCACGAACTGACTGTTTCATGCCAGCCTCATCGATACACATGTTTTGTGACATACCCAGGTATCGGTATGTTTCAGCCTCAGAGAGGGTCCTTATGTTAACGGGCATAGATAAGTCTATGCCCGCCGTATTAGTGACCTTACCCCTTTCGACATGAAGGACCGCACACTTATCCGTCCCGAGCTCCATTTTGATAGAATTGCTGAAATCACAAGTGACTTTAAGCAATTCCATCAAATGGGAGCGATTGGAGGCGAATAACTTGAGGTCATCCATGTAGAAAAGGTGGGTCACTTTTGTCCCTCCTCTCCGAAGCTGAAATCCTCCCCCCGAGCCCTCCAGTAATACGCTGAGAGGATTCAGGGAGAGGCAAAACCATATTGGACTCAAACAGTCGCCCTGGAAAATACCCCGTCGTATCCTTATCCGGTATTCCGCAGCCGTCATCCGCTCGCCTAGATGACAAAGGATCGTACTCCATTGCCCCATACAGTGCTCGAGGAAGTCTCTTACTGTACAGTCTACTTTGTACAGTTCGAGGACCCTCTTTAGCCATGTATGGGGCACCGAGTCGAATGCCTTTTTGTAGTCTATCCAGGCGGCGGAGAGGTTCCGACGGTTGCGTTTAACCCATTTTACCAATGACCGCGTCGATGAGAAGCGGTTCCTTGGTTCCACGACCGCCGCCCCGACATCCATTCTGAGTACGAGACATAATCCGATTCACATTAATATGCCGGGTGATTCTCATACTCAGAATAGATGTCAGTGTCTTATAGATGGTAGGTAGACACGTAATGGGGCGGTACTTACTCGGGTCTGTGGTAACCTGATCTTTAGGAACCAAATGAGTGACCCCAGTAGTAAAGAGGCTCGGGAGCGACCTCTGATCGAGAGCCTCTTGGAACTGCCGGGCGAGCACAGCATGACACACCACGAACCCCTTTAGCCAGTAGTGATGCAGCCCGTCGAGTCCCGGACTTTTCCAGTTCGGGGCTCTACGGACTGCCTCGGATACGTCGTCGGGTGTTATGACGACGGGGTCCATGGGTGTAATGTCTGCACATTGGCTCGCCACGACTTGTGTCCAAGGGCCCTCACTGTGGTCTACGGGCTCTGACCACAGGCTGCGCCAGAAGGCGACAGTGTCTGCCTGGTCCGGTCCTTGGCCCGTTCCACAACTCATTGGTCGCTCCAAAGATTTGTAGAGCCTCTTTTGGTCACTCTGGAAGAGGCGATTCTGGCTAAACCGCGCCGTCCTCTCGGAATATCTCCGAATCCGCTTCCCCCAAGCAGCGATCCTCTGCTTCAGGTCATCTATGCGCTCCGTTAGTTTTTGCGTAATATCCGGCTGGGACAAGTTGATATTGGTCCCAGCGAACGCCATCCTAACGGTGCGCACAATTCTGGGCCTATTATTACCCGACCTGAAGCTTATCAGCCTGCCGATGATGGCCCTTACCTTTGCGATACGATCCTCAATTCTTTTTCTCCATGCTGGGATAGTGCTACCTGGTCTGGTAGCACGTCCAGAATTGGGAAGTTTGGCGCCAACGATTCGGCATACTGCCAGTGCAGCGCCAAAGAGAATTGAGTCCGTATCGCACAGGTCCCGGCTAGCTTCCAAATAGGTTGCCAGCATCGGGTTAAGAGACCTCACGACAGACCGACTTCGCTTACTTAGGGGTATGCGGGGGAGACGTGGTCGATTCTCGAGAGGCGTTTCGCGCACCTCCAGAATTGCCTCCTCCAATATGCTTCTCATCTGCTCTATATCTTGGGCGACTATTCCATCATCGAACGAATCTACAGGAGCTGGGGGGTAAAACGCGGCCTCCGCTTCCGCTTGTAACCCCGCGAGATCCGCAGCTTGCGGGTTCGCATTTCCAGCTACTGCATTTTCGTCCGATGAGGGAACAGCCTCACGTCGAAGTCGTTCGAGTTCGGCATCATCAAATATTTTCGAACGCGTGATGTACCGAACTCGGTCTGCCAGGTTTTGCTCGGTGACGGTTACAGACGGCTCCAGCTCAGCAAAAAAGCGATGCATCCTTGCCCGATACGCAAACCCTCCAGTTTCACTCCCTTTCGCCCTAAGATACGCCCGCATTGCGTTCTCATTCATCTTCTTCGTCCAGCGCAAGCGGCGTATTCCACCAGCGGCGGGTGCCGATTGCTGGATCCGAGAGGACCCTGCCGACACCAAGCCAACTGGTGGGGATGATGGATGCGAGGTACTGCATGGTGGTCGTGCAGTACCCCGCGATCGGCTGGCGTCCCGCATGCTGCTACGTCCAGCGCCAGCTCCAGACGCGCCCTGGCGGCCCCCAGGCAGCGGCCCTATGCGCTTTCTTTGAGAGTCCATCATCCATTATTGTTTAGGGCGTCGTTTAACGGAAGACGCCCCCAGACCGGCACCGTTTTCTATTGAAACACTATTGTGTGGCCATACGCACAGGCGGGCCTATGCACCCTAACTTTTGCCGAGGCACGGTGCAGACACCTCTTGGCAAGGCGCTGACTGATTGCGCCGACGCAACAGTTCTGTCACTTGAACTGTTACGCCGGTGGGCGATGGGGTCGTCACTTCCCTACGCCTTTTATTTTTATTATTATTATTAAATTAGTTATACGCTATTAGGTAATGGTTTACTCGATGTCGAAAGCAACAAAGAATAAGCGAGAGGGACAAATTAACGATATATATGATAATAACTAATCGACACTCGCTTAATGAAATAAAATAGTCAGATATTTGAAAATAACTATGCACGAAGAACTAGCCAATTATTTCGATGTTCATACGAAATATCGTCTGCGGGGAAACGCACCTATTTTTTCTAACGAAACGAAAGCGAACACTCCTACTAGTGAGAGTGGCGGAAAATGCGCAAACCGCGGGCCACGGCACGCGATCATATCACTCCAGGCAACGCCGCAGCTCGACGTGTCCTGTTCCGCGCACCAGTTACATTGACGACCACAACAGCTAATGTGAAGAATCTGATGAGCCTATCCCAACAGAGAATATTCCGAAAATGAGGACGAAACCGACTCTGACGTTCTCGAAGCTGGACGAGGAGACTGGCGAGATGCTCGACAGAATGTTCGAGAAGAAGGACTGCATGGTGGAGATCAACCCCGGCCGGGTGATACTTCCGGCTGATTATATGACGATAGGCCACGACATATTGGAAATGGAGGTGCTGGCGGACGACGTTTGGATGTGCTCCTACCCGCGGACGGGTGAGTGAAGACCTCATTATATTTATTTATGCCACCTTGGATGTCTCCAAGAGACAAGCCCGGTAGATTTGAAAATGCTACCAAAGGCCAACAGTGGTTGACCCAGCCAAAAAAAACTCTTGCTAATGCTATACCAACATTTAAGAGTGGGCTCGGCTATCTTATTGACCATACGAAACGTAAAAGAATAATATTTGCATCGTTTTCTGTTAGGCCGTGGTATTTTCCCCCGAGAGCCTGCCCATTTGTGCAACAGCAGATGCTTGAACATATTTGCCTCATTGCTGGGCAAAGGCCTCTTCTTAGCAGTGATATTGAATAGTCCGCCACGTGGATCCATCGGGTTTCCTAACGTCGAGCAAGTGGTAGATCAGCACTGAAACTTTTATTAGTACTGGAACTATCGTGAGGAAAACTGCATATTTTCGAAATAATATTAAAAATAAAAATATTTCGAAGATAGAAAATATTTCGAAGGTGAAGTCCGCCAATCCGCTGTGGGGCCGCGTGGTGAACTATGCCCTGATGGCCTTTGCCCAGCAGTGGGATATGTAAATGCTGTTACTTTACTTTATTAGTACCAAGATTTGAACTGAGGTTACTCGAGCATAGTGCTTTCAAAAGTGAGCGCGAAGTGGAATATAAGACACGTAAGTAACTTTTAGGATTATCTATACAGATAAATAAAATTGGAGTGTCTGTTTGTAATATAAAAATAACTGCTTTTTACTAAATTCATATGGATGTGTATACGGTACATATACCAAAATAACATTTTTTACAATTTTTGTCTGTCTGTCTGTCTGTCTGTTTGTTCCGGTTAATCTCTGAAACGGCTGGACCGATTTCGATGGGACTTTCACTAACATATAGCTGACGTAATAAGGAATAACTTTGGCTACTTTTATTTTAGAATTTTTTTTATTTTAAATTCCACGTGGACGAAGTCGCGGGCACAGCTAGTATAAGCTAAAAAGTGTTAATGCATACATCTTTTTATCCAGGTTCAACCTGGGCACAGGAAATGGTTTGGCTTATTGGACACGATCTCGACTATGAAGGTGCTAAATCACTACAACAAGTGAGTAAAAGACATATTTACATTAACTTTAACTCATTGTATTTATGTGAAAGCAACATATCATTTAGTTGAATGAAACAATTCTTACGTTTTTACTGTGCTCAATTTAAATTAAAATTGTCGACGTTTAGGATATTTTAAATAATCTGGCAGCAGCTCGGGTTAACAGCAACATTAAGAAGACGTCTAAAGTCTCATTAAGGATAAGTAAATAACAATTTTACTATAGCATGTATTATAACATACTTGAGAAATACGCTACTTGAGAAATAGATTTTCCTAAAGTTTGATGTATGTTGCACGTGTTGTCTCGATCGAGTGGCGTGTGGTTCACAAAGCTTGATTTGTATATATGCCCACGGCACGTAAATATAGAACCATGCATATATTACCCATACCTATCTACGCATGTATACTCCAGACTGCAAACGCCTTTCCAACCAGTCGGGAATCTAGTTTGGTGCGAGGATTGAACGCGAGAGTGAACGGGTTAGCTAGAGTCTAAATAGTGTTTAGAAACGGTTAGTATGTTTTCCATTTACGGTTATAATGCATTTACCATTACCATTACCATTATAAACGTAAAGAAGCGCCTGTGAGCCGACCGGATAAGGCAACTAAATGCGGTATAAGTAAGCACCTAGAACATTACATGAGATTCTGCTCTTATGTAAGCTTTTTGCTACACGTATGTTATTGTAAACCTATGGCCGGTGGTAGCAAAGCTCGGAGAAAGCGCGAGATTACTAACCCTCATTGCTTGTGCAGTGTCGAGAATTTTGCTGTTAGTTTAGGATTTAAGTCGAGGCTTTGAATAATGAAACACACCTCCACTCTATTGGTAAACGCCACCTCTATATTAGTTTTGAAATAAATTAAAACCTCATGTTGGCCGGCATTTATTCCAAAAGAAGATGACGAAAATTCAGCGTAACGGCGTAAATCAGCGTAATTTAAATTTAAAAACTTTTACTCTAGTTATGAATGTGTGAATATTGATACCCGTCAGGCCATAACATATGAGTGTACAGGTATAATATTTTTTCTTGAATAGTTTTTAGAAGCAAGAAATAAAACATTTGCTATGATGTTTTCGTTCTAATTAAGAGAGCCCGTAAGTATTTTAAATTTCCCTTTGTAGTTGTTCTTATAGCCAAGTTATGAGGTCGTATGTTCATGTAAAAATTAACAAAACAAATTTTCATAATACAAAACTACTTTTTCTTAATCTATGAAATACTATTTTATAAGTAACTTTTCCTTCTGCAAATTTAGTATTCCTCAAAAGATTTTCTTTCTCTTTCCATATGGGTCTACTCTGGACTTGGAAATTCTTTGTTTATTTATGTTTATCACTTACCTAGTACCCATAGCACACGATTTGCATATTTTGGTACAAGATAACGTTGAGTAAAATATGTTCGGAAAAAATGATTATTTTTGTTATATTAGTTGCTAATGTTCTCAAGATGAAATTTAAATGTACCTTAAGTCTACGATAAATTATCGAAAACATTTGTGATGCTACCAGCATTCTTCTAGTCTCGTGATCTAGAACAAGTGGATTTGAATCCTTTGCCGAAAATTGTTCGACAATTTATCTATAACATGTCCAAATATGTATAATTAGAATCCTGAATCCATTGTCGAAACATTTTAGCGTTCTGAATTATGTATTTTTGTGGAAGTTAAAAATCTTCTCTCCGAATATAAAGTCGAATTCGACGACGAAGGTCACGATGAGGAGTAACTCATAATTAGCGTTTATATTTGTGCGATGTTAGATTCGATGCCCCCTCGTGGAGCTCTCGTGCATCATGGTGGATGGGCACGCGGAGTGGCACGACGAGTCGGTCAAAGGCACGTCAGTGGACCTGGTCAAGTACCGGCTGGCCCATCCCCGGTACATCCGCAGCCACCTGCCCTGGGACCTGCTGCCGCTGGACATACAGAAGGAGGATGGCGCGGCCAAGCCAAAGGTGTGTCGTCTTTTTAATAATGCACTACATTTATTCTTGAGCCGTGAAGAATAGCATCAGTGTCCGGGCGCTCGCCTTTAATTCAATATACTCGAGCAACCTGAGTTCGATCCCCGGTGCCGGCACCAATGAAGTTTTTGACTTTAAGTGCTGACTTATCACGTGCTCCGCGGTGAAGGAAAACATCGTGAGGAAACCTGCATATTTTCGAAATAATAAAAAAAAATATTTTTCGAAGATATGTGAAGTCCGCCAATCCGCAGTGGGGCCGCGTGGTGGACTATGCCCTGATACCCTCTGTATACCGGAGGCCTTTGCCCAGCAGTGGGACATGTATAGGCTGTTACTTTACTTTTTTACATTTATTCGTGAAATTTCTACCGTTTGAGAAAAGAAGCTGTGACCTTCGGCGCCAATCTCCTGATAACTTCTGCAAGCAGCGATCGTAATTATCTTAACATACTATACTATCCGATTAGAAATTTAATTATCCTCCGCTAATGGAAAATGCAATATGTTCTATCTTTTTATGTGAGAAGGTGGCAAACGAGCTGATGGTTCACCATCCATTTGTTCACATTCCATTGTCAGTCGCAACACCTGTAGGGTTGCAGATGTGTTGCCATCTTATAATAAATTGGACCTCGGCTATCTCTTTACTAGAAGAAACGCAATAGTTTAACACTTCCACTTCTCGTCGGTCTTCTGTGAGGTCATGGTACTTACCCACAATGACCTGCCCATTCGTGCAACAGCGAAGACCGTTGCGTGGTCCTACCACAGTTAGTATTCTGTTTCTCTTGCCTTAGTGACCGCACAATGTAGATTTATCAAAAATCCTGAAAATCTCTGATCGTTTGAAATTGAAATCGGAAATTGCTAATGTTGCAAACAAATTATTATATACATTTGTTTTAACAGGTGATTTACACATCTCGCAACCCCAAAGACATGGTGGTGTCCTATTACCACTACTGCAAGCTGGTGCACGGTCTAAAGGGGTCAATCGAAGAATTCTGTGACATCTTCATGAGAGACCGAGCTCCATTTGGGCCCGTCTGGAATCATATATTAGGTGGGGAAATATTTGTTTCTGTTTATTAAAGAACTAAATTTGTCAAAAGCTTAATGGTGTTGATGGATCGACAGATATAAATTTAGTAACAACAAAATTTCCCTATTGGAAATAACTAGAACTAAATAGAGGGGTAACTAATTGGTATATATGACTACTTATTTATTAGTCAATTTATAGTCATAAATTAACCAATTGACATCCTTAAGGTAAAGAAATCTAAACCTTCAATCTAATTATAGGCCTTACTTAGAGTTTCTAAGGAAGATTTTGGTGAAATCATCTTTATCTTTGCTAAGCGACCTTCTAGTTTTTAGTTCGTAGAATATTAAATCTTCATGGAGCGAAGGGCTCGTGGAATAGTCAGTATCCTCTGAATACAGTATCCTCCACATTCAGTAGGGCGTGTATTATCTGATAAGTGAGGTGAAATCAATGCTTCTTCTCGTATCTAGGATTCTGGAGCAGACGTCACGATCCCAACTTGCTGTTCATCAAATTCGAGGAGATGAAGCGCGACCTGCCCTCGGTGATCAGGAAAACCGCCAAGTTCTTGGGGAAGACGCTAAGCGACGAGCAAGTGTTCAAACTGTGCGACCACCTCTCCTTCGAGAAGATGAAAGGCAACAGAGCGGTGAACCTGGAGGCGATATTGGAGAAATCATTCGGGAAAAACTACCTGGAACAGACCGAGTTGAGGTTCATCCGGAAGGGTGAGATCGGTGATTGGAAGAACTATATGTCGGAAGACCTGTCACGCAGGTTCGACGCTTGGGCCGAGCAGCATTTGAAAGGCACCGAGCTGAGCTTTGAGTGAATAGCATCGTTTTTAAGTTAGTTTTCAACGATCACTATTGACGTATCGGATATTTTTGTTGTTTTCTTTTTAAGTTTTCTTTGCTGAATAGATCGAAATAAGTGTTGCCCTTGATTTTCTCTCTCTCTTCTCCACAACCGTAGTGAGGTTGAGTTATAAAGTAATATAATTTTAATAATGACAATTATTATTTTTTTACACTGTTTGTGTCATCGCATTTAGTTTTTTACAAATTAAATCACAAAGTTTTGGTTTGCTTCCTTTTAATTGTGTTTATAGCTTCGGAGGAAACGATATACAATATATAAAGGAGAGATATAAGATATATAAAGGCCAATCATTCAAAATCTACCTACTATTATTTTTCTTTTTCTTCTTTTATTTATATGCACAAATAGTTAATAGCCCACGGCCTATAATTGTTTATTATAACAATAATTATGTTTGATAAGTATAATCTAAAGTTCTCTATGTTGAAAGTTAAGAAGCCAAAATCCAACCTAATGACAAGCCAGCACTAATAAAAAAAGATTTTTGATATTTTAACAACAATGGTTTGTGTCATTCATAATAATTGAGACAAGTGGTCGCCCAGTGGTCGAAATTCGATCATAATTAACTATTCATGGTAGTGTGTGTAATATTTTTTTATTTATGTAATTTATTTTTTATTTTTATTAAAATTATTAAAAAAATATAAAATAATATTAGCAATCTGCACTTCTCTATATTTTATAAGTGTGGAAAATTTCATACTCCTCCGTCGACGCAATTTTCGTAAAAAGGGTACAAAGTTTTTGCTTCACGTATTTATATCTAGAATAATATTAATCCCCCATTGTGTTCTTGAGTGTTAATATTAAGTCAATATCAATTTTACCGACCACGTCCGTTGAAATAAATACACTACAAAAGTGCAAGAAAAAGTCAAAAAACATAATTCAATACCATTTTATTTCCACAAAAGTGAGATTCACAATAATGGCAATGAAAAATCATCTATCAAAGCATTTTCAAGTGAAATAAAAAAGACATGGATAGTATAAGATATGGGTGTCCTAATTAGCTTTGGTTCCGTAAGAAGGATTTCTAAAATCTAGTGTAGGTACATCAATAGAATCATTTGAGTGTACAAACATTCCAAAAAAAAAAAAGATAACTTTAAGTACAACATTTAATCTCAAAACGACTAGATAAATTGTTTCTTAATTGACTCACAACATTCAACTACAAATTGATATAATTTTATAGATATAATTAATTAACACCGGATTGGTTTGATTTGCATTAAATAAACCCAAATTAGCTTTATACATATATTGAAGAATGAAGAAGCAGAACAATATTCTCTTTTAATTTCTTTCAAAAGTCAATTTTTAATATTTATCGAGTGGATTTGATGTCTTTTCACGAATTTTTTACGTATTTTCACATAACATCTTCACGGATGTTTTCATTATATGTTATCGCGTATATCAATACTGGTAACATAAAAGAATAAATAATAACTTGTTGATTTTACTTTGCTTTGATGGTATTTAACTAAATCATTATTATTTTAACTAGTACGTACCTACATTATTATTTTATTTAGTCACAAATCTTTCTAGAATATAATTAGAACAATAAAGCAAAGGAAAATAAAATGTTAACTTTGTAATTTATTGTTTATATTCCACGTGACTTAGATTTTATTCCTACGAATGATATGCGGACGAATATTTGAAAAATACATAAATTTTTCAAAGACTTCATTCACATTAATGAAAATTTCGAAAATTGAAATAAGACAGACGAAAAATAACTTGGGCGTAGCATAATTATCTTCTAGGTTTGTTAACCTTTATCCAAATATTGATCTCGGACAAAAACACAATATTCTTAAACTTTTGGCATGGTCAATGCTATATAAAATAAAATGACATTACTTTATTGCCTTCTAATCTTACGTCTAATACATATAGAGTAGAAGTTTAAAACCCTTCTATGAACTTAAACAAAATAATTAATCTCATTGACGCTCTCTTAAAAATAGCTGTGTCCAACACATAATGTATTAAAACAAGCCCATTACTAAGTAATGGTAACGATTGCAACTACACAGTTTGAATATAAAATCTAAATACACTAACTTAACCACAAATACTTTATGATTTTGGTATACATTTCAAATATCGAATTAAAATTCTAAAACAAGACACTGTCAAACAGTGTTACAGTGTTTAGTTATTTTATTTTTTATTTTATTATTGATCTTTTAAATTTAATAATTTCTATTGTCAACGAGTAAAGCTCATCTTAATTTGGGATTTAATCTTCTCCATTACAGTACTCTTTGGAATCTCTTTTTGGGATGTCGTGAACTTATCTGAGATCTGAAATAAATAATAACTTAAATAAAGCTCATAAAATAAAAAAAGGATATAACATTTTTTGTTCCATATTATAATGTGGATATAACAGGCTTTGTGATTTTCAATTTATCTCAAGAAAATATAAAATTATTAAAAAATATAATAATTTAACTATAAACAACTGCAACCATTTCAAGTGTTTTGTAAATTCAAATTGTATCTTTAGACAAATCTAAAACTAAGTTACTATCTAAGCTGTACAAAAATATAACATTATCGTTAAATTAATTCGATGTTTAAATCATTTCATTAGAACAAAGAAGCGTATAGGCCGCGACGCATTAGATTAAAAAAAATACAACCGCGAGTAGGACTTGTTCTTGCATTTGTTATAAATACACAGCAGTAATTCAAAGATATATTTTTGTCTAAATAATCATTTTTCACGTTCAATATTAATTAAAGGCGTTCGTGAACATTAAGCTAAATTTGTTTTATACAATTTTTATGTACTCCGAATTAAACAAACTGTTACAGCAGGAATGGACTTTATAAATCTAACTTTTTCTTTCAATTTTACACTTAAACATGAGAAGAGAAAGACACAAAACATTCGTTTATTTGAAACTAAATAGATTACTTAACATTCATCACCGCAGACAGTCACATGATTCTCTCGTATGGGTAACAGCGCTTAAATTAGGTGACAACTTGTGTTACTAGTTTTGTGCCTCACGTGTGGGTTGCCGAAGGCGCCGCAGCACTGGTGGTGGTTGACGTTCTTCGTGTGGTGGTGGCCGTGCGGCACGCCGGACTGGGGGCTCTTGTCCTTGACGGAGTCCTGCTTGGGCTTCCCACACGTTCTGTGCCCTGGGGCGATGCGCGCCCGGAAGCGGCCCACTTTGCCGGGCTTCGCGTTCGGCTCGTCGCTGCGGCACGCGTGGCCCGAGCCCGCCTCGCGCGCGTCCTGGTACTCGGCGTCCGTTTCTGGGGAGACAGCCGGCCCTGAGTGCAACGGCCGCGAATGGCTCCCCCGCCGGTGCGGATGGTTGTGTGGTGGGGAATGAACGAATGGTTGCGGACGAGTGACGCCGCGAATGGTTTTTGGAAGAAGGAAACGATTGTGAGCTTAAAGGATATTGAATTTTATTAGGTGTCGTCGAGTGATTATACACACCTGAGTGATTATAAACATGAACGGAATTCGCTGAGTGCGACTGATTGGGTAAGGTTTTGCCGGATGAGCGGATCAGCGAATGATTGAAGGGTTGGTAGGAACGAACGAACGGTTGCGGTATTGAGATAACCATTCATGGCGGTATATTGAACGGTTTTGTCACATATTTGCGTAGTGCGAGAGTCCACGAATGTAAGCAGCATGTATGGATTTCGCACCATACGTGTTAGGTTAGGAACAAATGTGGGTGGACTAAAATAACTCTGTATTACGAATGAAGTATTGAGCATAGCCTTGAATGGTATTAGCACATATTTCGAATGAACGAATGATTGTGGGCATGAACGGTCTTGAAAGGACAACGATTATGGTGTGTTGAAGCGAACTAGGATTGAACGAACGAATTTAGGATTGAATGGAGGTGGCATGTGTTAAGATTTAAGTTTGGGTTTGATTGAACAGATCCGCCGAACGCTTTGGTGTGAAATGAATGGAAAATGGAAGGATTTTGGAGTTCGAAATGTAAAAATGAATTTTAGTACTTATGACAAGGGGTTACGCTTACGCGTTAGTAACGAATAAACCGGATTTAGACCTTGTCGGAGTGAGTAAATGAAGAAAAAAATTAAATAGAGCAGTTACACATTACAAAGGAATGGATATGAACTAGAATGGTTTTGTAGCTTAATAGCAATTATTTAATTTTTTTTATACTGCCCGTATTGTAGTACCGCATTATCCTGTGTTGTAAGGACGATTTATATACATAAACGTGGACAAACACCCAGATCCAATCCAGAAACAATTATCTGTATTCACACAAATATATGTCCCGCGTGGTAATCGAACCCACTACCCCCAGCGCTGAAAACAATACCCAAAACTAAGCAAAGCTTGTATTTTAAGTAAATAAACGAATGTAAGTTTGAATGAATGACTATTTATGAATGAATGAATATTTTTTTAGTTTCAACAAACACATGAACATGAACAAGTTTGAATGAAGATCGAGGGAAAGAAATGTATGTAATCTTGAACAGTGATCGTGCATACTATAGATGAGTGGAACCAATCTAAGCACGGCAATTGGTCTCGGGAAATTTGATAATTATGAGATTTTGCGAAGCTTAAAAGAATATATTAATGACAATTGATAGAGCTATTGGCACGAATACCACCTTCGGTAGAAGCGATGCGGTTGAAGGTTATTGTAGTGGTATCAAATTAATGTAGCGGTTTGGGATCGACCTTTACCGATGTCGTCGGGGGTGGCGGTGCGGGTGGCCGGTGGGGCGAACGCTCCGGGCTCCTGCAGCGATGAGACGCACTGCCATTGAAAACGTTCAGAACACTTACGAACAATGTCAGTGTACAACGAAGGCTATTTGTGATTATTACTTATATTTAGTGGTCCGAGAAAGTAAAACGACCTTACGGAAGAACGGTGCGAAATGGAAGTGTCATACTTCTGCGTTTCGGGCGAGAGTGGTAACCGAGACGCTTTTTTTTAAAAAGCGACAACATATTTCCGAACCATCGGTTACTGTCTGATGTACAAAGGTTATCACTTAACATCAGGGGGATCATCAGCGCCCTTACACCTTCTCATATAAAAAAAAGTGCGTGAACAAAGTAAGAATTTATACTTCTATTGCATACCTAACAAAATAACTAAAAATTTAAACCCTATGCCAGTACTCTTTGTTGTTTAAAAATTCATTAGTCTGTTTCACAATGTCCAAATAAAGGACCGAATAAGCTACTTGCAACTTATTTGACGAATAAAGTCATCGTTGTAGTTTTACAATCTAATAATAAGCGTATCTTCGAAGTAAATTATACGTTAGATCATCTGTCAGATAAGGAATTTATTTGGGGGTTCGTTACTTGACAGAAGTTAGAAGAAAAAATTAGTATACGTATGTTGTGAAATCGAAAAATATTAAATATCTATTATTAGGATCTATTTAATGACTTTGACGACGAAATAGATGATTTTTTTTATCGTTGATCAGAACCACGCAGAGATCCTGTATTTCAACGTCGCTCTAATTACAGGGTGATGATGAGGAATTTAGAGAGCGATTTAGATTTAATAAAGATACTGTCTATTAAGTTCATTCCCTCATTCAGGACAAAATTTCTTCTAGTACACAATGATACTTATTTTTTATCAATAACGTTCGAAGTGAAATGTCTTTTTCTTTTCTTTTTTTTTTCTTTTTTCTTTTAAAAACATTGCCCTTACTTTAGGATAACATTATCCTTTGTTGTAGGGACGTTTTACAAACATAAATTTCACGTGGACAAACACCTAGATGCGAAACAACTACCTGTGGTTCACACAAATAGTTGTCCCGTGTGGGAATCGAACCCACGATCCCCGACGCCGAAGCAAATACCTTGGAAACAGTGCCACGGAGTCATCAAATTAAGTCTATCTACTTAATACTCAAGTTATTCCTAATAGGTACTGAAATAATCAATGTTTCATGAATTATGTTATACCATTTATGGGCCAACTTCTGTTGATACTGCGATATTATGCGACTTGAAGTTTTCTGAAACTAGTTAGCGATTTTGCCGGTGTGAGTAAGGCAAAACCTTGTCCAATTGAAAATGTGGTTTCACAAGCAATTGCACGATTTGTTAAGTTGTTACCAGATGAATTACAAGGAAACTTTTTTGAGATAGCTTTTCTGATAGCTAGATTTCCAAGGCTTAGTGGTGCCATTGGTTGTACCCATGCCGCAATAAAATTTCCACATGGTGACCGCGCAGAAAGTTATCGGAACAGAAAATTATAAATCTCGTTCAAGTTCAAACAATACTTGGTTCAGATTTGAAAATAATGGACATAGTGGCTGTATGGACAATGAAGTTGGTCGCTTTGCGACACATATTTTTTCCAAACGCGTCAAAAGAAGTATAAGATCAAAAACGGAATATTCTAATAGACCTTACCCTAGGCTCGAATAGGAAACCCTCGTGGTCCTGGTTGCCCATCGGCGCGGTGCCGACTCTGCAAGGTGACGTCGCACTGTAACTTAAGATTTACGCGAGCCCTGTAGAAAATACTAGAACGATGCTACTAAGTTTCGTATTGCCAGAACCAAAGAAATCATATTCAAAATACTATAATTAAAAGCGACTTTGAGCTGTCATAAATTTAAAGTTGTCAAAGTGGCATCAAAAGCAAGTTTTATGTTGAATAATTAATTAAAAAACTTAACTAAGTTCATTATTTACTAAAATCTACTATATCTTAAAAATCCCATAGTCGTTAAAATAGATTATAATTAAAGTTAATGATTTTTTATTGAAATATACGAATGAGAAATTATTTATGAACTAATAACGAATAAGATTTTCAAATCCCCGGGAAAATGAACGCTGGAAATAGTTCAAAATGTCGGAAATTTACAAATCAAATTGAAACGTGATGCAGATCGTAAAATGGTTTCATTTAACCAAATTCTGATTTGGCTTAAAATTTATCTCACTTCCAGAACGTTCTTGTTCTGGAACAGAAAAAACTTGAAGTGAAGAAAAACCTAGATTCACCTGTATTTCATTACTCTTTTACGAGGTTTTTGAAGATAAGTACACATTGTACACCTATAAAGAGACGTTTTTAATAAAAGGTATAGAGGAGACGAGGCTGTTATAGAATGACGAGCACATAATGGCTGATTTCAATAACTATGTAGATTTGGTTACCATCGATAGGTATTTAACATTAGCTTCATATTGTTTACGTCAAAATTTTATCTTCAGTTACTAAATCTACGGATAAATAGAATATTGAAACCGGCCGTAAGTCACTTTAAATAAGAAGTAACAATGAGCACCATGAAAATCCTATTCAGAAAAAGCCGCTTTAATTTATTTTTATTGATTTCCATAGAAAATGAAGAAGAGATGAAGGAAGAACTTTAATTCTTCTCACTAATAATCAAGCATTAGAATGCGAGTAGGGGCTACGACAGAATCGCGATGAATTTATTTTTATATAATCCCACTTTGGAAATTGACTTCGCTGTTCATAAACGTATGGTTTTAAACGGCATGACTGTTTTCACACGTCCATCATCTGATCAGTTACCAGAAGGAGGAGTTCAGGCTGTCCATGTTTCGTGAAGGCTCCCGTGAATCGGCGTCGGTCCACGGCGCCACACTAGCGGAGGTTGACCTGGACTCTGGAAAATGGGTCGAAATTAACATTTAAACGGAAGTTAGTAGCCTGTTGATACAAGTCATCATCATCATCATTTCAGCCTGTTCGAGTCCTGCTGAACATGGGCCTCCTCAAACCGCCGACAAGGACGATCTATGCCATCTGCCTCCATCGACTTCTCAAAACAAGTCATGACTTTAAGTAAATTGTATTTTGATAGAGTAAATTTGACTAGGTGACAATATTTTGACTCCCGCAAACTCTGCCATCAGTTAGAATAGGTCCCGTAGACAGAGTAAATGAGAATTCATAAAGTTCATAATGAAATTATTTGATTCTCCTTGTCTTGGAATTTTTTCACTGACATGTCTCCAGGTAATTTTTGTTCTTAAGTCTGTATTGTAGTGGGCAATATCGACACTTGTCGTTGGCAGATTGTTAGACATTGAAAATAAGCTGGGTTAAGCCTAACATGGTAACATTCTCTTTGGGTTAAGCGGTGTACATAATTATTCTAGATTAATCCAATTAGAAAATGTATAGCGTGTAGCAAACGCTTTACTTATTAAATCTATCGGCCGTGCTACAGACTCTTGTTGGCGAAGAAAAGATTCTCGTGATAATAGCAGATTGTCTTGATTGACTTAAGGTGAAGGGCTTGAAGTTACCGTACACACATAATATATATAAACCATATCACATCCTTTACACTAAGCCACTATCCTATAAATATAATATAATACGTATATAGGATAGTGGCGCAGTTGCTAAATCATAGGCTTCGGCGCCAGGTCTCATGGGTCTCATCGTTCCGGATCTGGTTGTTTGTTCCCAAGAAGGGTTCACGTCAGACAGGCTGGTCTAAAATAACCTAGTCGATACCGTTAACAACACGATTCACTTCTTGTCCTGCCCCACCTAGGTGGGATAAGGGCAGGAGAAAGAAGAAGCCAGTAGAGAATATTGTGTAGTGTAAAAAAGAGTTACATGCGTGCATGAGGGTTGCTTAAAGTTAATAATCACTTCTGCGACGAATTTCAGCCGTTTATACAGATTGTAATTCTTCGGAGTAGCCATATGAGCTGTTCATAAACAATGAAGAGGCGTACCTTTGACCGTTGTGTTACACGATTGCTGCCGGCTGTTGTTCTGGTACTGCTCCAAGATGTCGCCCCTCTCCCTATCGACTCTGTTCGGCGAATTGGCTATACTCCTCCTCGCCACGTCCTGGAAGGTGACGGGCGAGTACATCCGTCTCTCTTCCACCGGTGACGTCACCGTCGGCGGTTGGCCCCGCGGCATCGACGATACCAACGCCAGGGGATTCCCGGCACCGTTCCCGATGGAATTGGTGCCGATACTGCCCGGTGGGTAGAAGCCCGAGCTTTCTTTGTTGTTCATCTGCTGTGCTGAGTACTCGGCGATGCTTTCCCTGACGTCGGCCGCCCTCTCCCACTCTAACTCGTTTCCCGGATGGAGCTGCGACGAGATCATCTTGGTGAGCGAGGGCCGAGATTCCCTATCCTCCAGCCAGTAGGTCTTCATAGCTCCTGGAACATGTATGGTAGTTGAGGACCTGTCAGTTATACCGTAATCTAGGTTTTAAAATGAATAAGAACAGATACGGATCTAGTGTTCATATTTCCCCAAAACTTAGTCTAATTTTTCAATACATTTACATTACAGTACATTTACATTTCTTAATAAGTATGTACTCACAATATGTCTTTTTGTTATAAATTGAGATTTTTATTGCAAATTAGTGATGTTACATGGAATTATTGTGGAAAAATATCAATATCACTTTTTTTAATTTTTAATTTTAAATATTTTCTGTCTATGTTAAACTTCAATGTATCCTGATTCACTTGTCCGATTTTCGTTTGTCTCGCGCTAAATAGTCTTTGGATTCACTGTATACAAAGAAACGTGTACTTTGGGTTATTATAATATGATGTGTAACTTTACACGGTATGTGAAAGTAGCGACATATAGACGACAATAAACTTAAAAATTAATCCAAGTGCGAGGTGTTAGGTTTTACATAATATATTATTAAATAGTGCGGGAGTTGTTAACAGAACTTATAAACGTAAATAAAGGAAATATGAATTTAATCGATTTTAACTGCTGAATTGAGGTGATTTTTGTTATTAAATGAACATAAACTTTCATCGCTGCGGGAATTGACCCAGGGCTGTAGCTAGAGTTGAATTTGAGGTAGGGCAGCATTGATTACAGGTAGGGCGGAAGTAAACAATTAAATTAAATTTATCATAATTGATTTGCCCTCGAAGCATGAGCTCCTTCTTGTATCTTGTATTAACTGATGTTTTTACTTTCAGTCCCGAGACTATTAAAGCTTCATCTGACGCAGAACCGGTGGGCTAGCCAGAACCCACGGGTTTGGGCCCTCCGCTGTGGGTAGAGCCGCGCATGTGCTCATGCGTGCGTTTAACTATGGTGTGTCATCTAAGGGCCATCGAGGTCGCGGTTCGGACCGAAACCCCGATGGCCGTCGACTGTGCATTTAGCTAATCGGTGGCTGGGAGCGGTGAGAACCGCCCCGGAATGCGGGTGTACCTTGTGTACGCGTTGTGTTGGTCTCGCCGTGCTCGGAGGCGAGGGCGAACTAGTGTATTTGTTGTTGCACTAACTGTGGGTGTAGTGTTATCTGGCGGGACCCCCGGCGGTGGGTCCATCGTTTCTAAGTCCTCTTCGTCGCTCTGGTCGATGAGGAGGTTTCACGGGCGACGCTTGATGACGTTCGCGGTTGTTGGTAATTTGCAGCGCTTACCACCAGAGGGTTGGGATGATGTTCGGCTCTATCGAAGAACCGTTTGGTCAGCTCTTTAAGATATTCGCGAATCGTCGGGAGTCTGCAATCGCTGTGCAGGTCGACGTTGCGTTGATACCACTGCGCACCGGTTGCGCGGCGGATGAACTTATTTTGTACTATTTGCAACTTGTACAAGCGAGCCGCGGTTCGTATCACGATCACACACTTATTTTTTTTACTTTTTTTTCTATACTATTCTATTCAATGATCAGCATTGCTTTCTTTTTTTTTTATTTTTAAAATACATTTTTACCAAAAAAAAAAAAACGAACAAAGCTCGGTCCTCCAGGTACTTTTTTTATACGAGTACACAGAACAAAGAATTATTAGAATATGAAATGAATGTCACACACTGGTAATGAGTCGATCCAAGCTATTTCTAAAAGAAAGAAAAAAAGCAGTTGTATAATATTTTAATTTTTTAAGAAAAAAATTACGAATAACAGGATACCTGCGGAGTTTCTTTCTCCTGTTTCTTCTCCGTTAGAGGAACCTCATGATGAAACGGTGGTAGATTAAAAAAAATACTATCGATAGATGAAATTTATGTTTCCTAAGTCCATAAATAAATTATTTTGATTTTGACAAACTGTGTATGTTCGGAAAAGTTGAGATACCTATCGCTACAATTTTTATTACAATAATGTATCTTAGTTTTTGAATGAATAAATGAATGAATACTTTATTGTCCACCACACAAAAGAGGATACACAAAATTAACAATAGACAAACAAATTAATGGAATTCACAATTTGGCGGCCGTATCGCTTCATAGCGATCTCTTCCAGGCAACCAATGGCGTAAAGGAACTTTACTACGTAGGTTGTGCAATAGTATAGTGTATAATGCAGTAGTAGAGTTTAACAGCCTGTACGGTAAAAGATTTTTCAAAAAATTACGTTTTGTGGTTTGGCACGTTTAAAATGAGCTTCCTTCGTAGGATCTTCCCCTAGAAGCCCTACAAATTCAAATTTCTCCTTTAAATAAAGTGGAGTAAAAACATGAAATAGACACAGTAGGTACAACATAGTAAGGATATACAAATTCCAGCGAAGTAGGATGGGAAATCACTTGAGACGTATACGAAATTGAAAAACGTGGTCATATTTACGCATTTTTATTTTGGTATTTTTAAGGTAGGGCATTGTGATTTTAAGGTAGGGCATTGAATATATTATTATCTACGGCCGTGAATTGACCCTGCGTCTACCGGTTTTGCGCCAAGACAGTTCAAGCTATCTAGTGTGCACACTTTACATCATGAAACACCTCTTTGTAAGTTTCAACGATGAATATTTGTAACGAGAGATGACGCTTTTCCTCTTAAAATTTAGTACCAATCTTAATTACTTTAGCGCTAGTCTGTGCACTCAAGATGAATCTTAAGTGCGTAAGTTTTTGTCCACACATCTATAACAATTTTAGCGCCGAGATTGGCACTAAAATAAAGATTAACTCTAGAAAATGATTCTACATCAAGAAAATACTTAACCGGTAGTCCTGCGCACACTAAAAATCGCTCCAAAGGACAAACCCACCTTTCCCTTTGACCTGGATCTCGCCCCTCTCCACCACTTTGTAGGAGGGCGAGAGGAGCTCCTGCGTGGTCTGCGATATGTGGATCCTCATCGCCTCTGAAGTGGACTCCATGCGGGAGGCGGTGTTGACGGAGTCCCCGAATAGGCAGTACCGGGGCATCTTCAGGCCCACTATGCCGGCCACCACGGCGCCGGAGTGGACGCCCACGCGTATCGACAAGTGCGACCCTGGGGCGTTCCACACACAGAGTCAAAATTCCTTCGTTAAATACAGGCGTGTTTTAAGCTTGAACGTGAAACTACCACCGGTTCACGACCTGTGATAATCCTTATTTTCCTTACTAATATTATAAAGGCGAAAGTTTGTATGTATGGATGGATGTTTGTTACTCCTTCGCGCAATTACTACTGAATGGATTTTAATGAAACTTTACAATAATATAACTTATACATCAGAATAAGACATAGATATTATATACATATTTTAAGTATATCTGTCTTTCTGTCTGAATGTTACGCCTTTAGCATATTTTAAGCAGACGTAGTCGCGGGCAGCAGCTAGTAATATATAAATAAACTACCTGCTAAACGCGACTACGTCTAGCCTATGTGTTATTCTGATGTATAAGTATTTACGTGAAAGAGTAACAAACATCCATCCATACATATAAACTTTCGCGTTTATAATATTAGTAAGGATGAATAAGAGGAATTACAAGTGGGTACCGGTAGAAGTCAGTATTGGATACCTGTGCTGGGGTCCTTCAAGTCGGTGATAGCGTCCACCATATCCAGGGCCATGTCGCACACCTTCTCCGCATGGTTGTCTTCCTTCTCAGGGGCCCCCGATACCACCATGTAAGCGTCCCCTATCGTCTCCACCTAAAATAAAGATAGGTCTTGGAAGCCTTTGAGTTTTTAAAATAAACGACGACCCGAATGGCGTAGTGTACCTGCCCCCTGGGTCAGAGTTGCCTGTGGGTTCGATCCCCACTACTGGAATACTACTGAATATTGTGTGATGAACATAGTGTTTTTTTAGTGTCTGGGTGTTATAAATATATTATGTATTTATTTACAAAAGAAAAGTATGCTTAAGTATGTTTATCAGTTATCTAGTACGCAAAGTACAAGGGTCGCTTAGTTTAGGACTAGAGAACGTTGTGTAAAATTTGTCCTAAAAATCTATTTTGTCCCGTTTTTGTCCTAAATGTTCGGAAAAACGTATTTTTTCATAAAAACACTATCCATATACCAAACTAAATGTTTTATTACAAATAGTGTGCTCAACTTCTTCAACATTACTCAATTTCAACTGGTAATAAATTCGTTTATTTGCCAAATTAAGTGTTAAAGACTCATTGATAAGGCACTTCAATGAATTTAATGCTAACTAACAACTAATTTGTGTGTGAGTGTGGCCGGTAGTGGTACAAGAAATTTAATGTTCAACTTAAGGGTTATAATAATTGAGTATGTTATTGTTTCAAATGAATCGTTAAAATAAGTTAAATTTTCAAAATCCCGTTCGGAGGATAGAAAGAGAGCAATATATTATTTTATATAATAAGCGTGAAATCTAACTTATGTTTCGCGGTACATTTGTTAGGCCAAGGCGCGTTGGGCCCGTTATTTATATTCGTTCACGGCTAATATTGTAATTGCTTGTTACGGCGCCCCGGGGATTTAATGCAAATTGGAATCGATATCGTGTGGTACTTTCTAATCCTCTCGATCTAAAACGCACACGTTTTCGACCGACTTCGAGAAAAGAAGGAGGTTCTCTATTCAACTGTATTTTTTAAACGATTTTATTTAGCTCGATCCGTACGGAATTTATTTGTTTATTTGGGTTAAAATTAGAAATTGAAATTTAACCACCTTCCCGTTGTCAGATTGATCTGAAATTTGGTACACACATTTAATTTAGATGACAATACAATATTGTAGTTTTCAGTGCACATAAAATAAAACCGTTTAACTTAAAAGTTTTTAAACGGTTTTATTTATGTTTGCTACCTCACTTTCGACGGAGTGAACAGGTATTAATGATTCTTTTTTTTTAAGCTGGTGCTTCCCATGTTTCATAGGTATTGGATCTTGGGCTCCGGAGATCATTTCTGATCACTCATTCATTGGTACTAGATACTTAGGAAACTCCTGAAAATCAATTATAAAATGAATACAAATACTTGAAGTCGGTTTTGTTTTTTGTTAAAAAAAATGAACTTGTAGTACAAAAGGCTACAGTCGTAACTCAATTATATTTTTAAGTGACAGTTAGAAAGTATAAGTGAAAGGCAAGGATTTTTAGTACGTATATTTAACGAGGGTTTTTTGCTAAGCCGTGGTACTCCAAGGTTCTACTCAAGTCATTTATTATACTCAGATAACTAGTCAAAAAGGGCAATAAAACACCAAAGATTATATTTATTTTTCTAATGCCTGCTAAAAATGAATGCTAAAAAGCCCTAATTTGGAATATTACATTTAAGACGATTTGAACGAAAGCACAATCAAAAAGTTTCTCAATGCGGTTAAGTTTCCACTCCAAAGTACTTGAAAATTTATACGCCTTGAAAATTTATTGGAGAATATAAAAACGGCGATAATATAACATAATAGAAATCTCCGTTTGTCGATTAATATAACATAAAAATTTTTACGGAATATTGGCTGCATAAGTAAAACGGAAAACGCACCTTTCACTCAATTCTTCTATCGCGTGACAACGATAAATTATATTTGAACATTGAAAACGGCTAACACGCTTCCGTATACTAACAAGCATAAACGATTAAGTGGCAAAAATGGATATAATATACCCCGTCACTCTCACAACGGAGGCGAGTAAAATGACAATGTACCACATTGTGCCACGCAGCAGCATCTGCTGTTGCACGAATGGGCAGACTCATCCGAGGAAGTACCACGGCTTCACAGAGACTGGCTTGAAGTCAAAGTATAATATTACTTTCACTACCTTTCTTCTGGTGAGTAACAGGGCTCGGTTTTTTTAAAGTTGTCTAAGCATTTAAAGCCCTTATATTTTGTAGATATTCATCGGCGGCTTAAAAGCAGGTGAACCAACCTACCTGCTCGCTTAACAACGTTTCATAGAAAAAAAAACGTCGAAATCCGTCACGAGGCTGTAGAGGGTGCCAAAGAATGAGACATACTAATTAAATCTCGAAAAACATTACTCTTCTTCGGCAGTCGGGTAAAAAGGAATAAGTTTCAGGTTGAAGCACACTAACGGACAAATGGAATACAGTTGCTTAACTTACCTTGTATACCCGGTTCCTCTCTGTGAGTGTGTCGAAGATTGAGTACATGGCGTTAAGCATAGACACGACCTCCATTGGAGTGATGCGGGAACAGATCTCCGTGAAGGTCACCACGTCGGAGAACAGGATGGACACGCTGTCGAACATCTGTGTTGCAATATAAGATATAATTACATCCGATTAGCGCAGCGGATTGTGAACCTGTCTTTTGCGGCAGAGGGCGTGGGTTCAATCCGCACTACTTGCATTCCTCTATTAGTTTAGTGTGTTATTTAAATTTAATTAAATTTTGTTGATTGTTTAACTTAACTTTACGCACTACTCATAAGTAAAGTCTTAATTGTATAGCCTGACTTACATAGTTGTTAACTTATGAATCTGAATATATAATTTAGCATTGAGATTTTGTAAATTTCACAATATTTAGGTTTAATGATAAGTTATTTATTTACGTGATTCAAAGCCTAATTAAATAAGAAACTTTTATTAATGAGAACAGTATCATTTTGTAATAGTTTGATGTCTTGACTAAAGATAAACTAAGGACAAGAAAGACTGTCTACAATCCTTGTTATAAAATATAAGTTTATTCAAAAATTAGACGTCTCATCAGAAAATGGGTCAAGACAAATTATTGATGGAAAACTTTCTTTTATATTTTTCGTATTTCTTTTAATAAAATATGAGTTCACTTATAGCATAGTGGTCTCGAGCACTAAAAACAATCACTACTTCAGAATCTCTAAAGCTTTTAGTGTTATAAGCTTAGATTCACACAAGTACAGAAATCTCGACTTTCCTATTTCTATTTAATTGTTATGGCTGTGTACCGTTTGAACGTTTTACCGTGTAAATGCCGTATCCAAATACTTTGAGCCTATAGAGAGAGTAGAGAAAAATATTATTACGCTTATAGGCGTTATCAAAATAATATGTTTAAAATTGAGAAAGGGAAATTTAATTGCTAAAAACTTGTCTTTTTTATTTACGTTTATAACAAAAGTTATAGAGTTATTTTAAATATTTAACATTATTTAATTAACATTTTATGTCCTGCCAGCTAAGTAGCATTAAAGTCAATAACCTCTGGCTTTGCCGTGACCATGCATTTGGTCGGGAGTTAAACAAAAAACGACAAAATCCGCTTAAATGCATTTCTTTTGCCTTAACTTGAACAAAAGTAATTAAAGATATTTTTGGAATACTTTTTTAAAGAAGCGTAACGTCCCTCGTAAGTCTTACGTTTTAAGTGTAATGGGTGATGTGAAACAGTTGCTGAAACATTTTTTGTAAATCCCTTATTCGCCGCGTTTGTTGTGTTATTACGAAAATAACTGTAGGATAATTTATTTCGTGTTGTTCAAAATTAAGTTAAATAAATATTAAAACCATATTAAATATTCTGTTGCACTAACCTAAACACTATGAAAGAGTTTTATAGAAGAGTTTTATATAATTCAATTATGACTATAAATTGAAATTAGGAACAGTATGTCTAAAAAACAAAAAATTTAATTCCAGTTAGATACCGTGAAAAAATATTTTAAATGAAACATTGAAACTTATTATTTTGCTCAATCGTAAGTTCGGTAATCAACTGATAATACCCATAACACAGCTTTCAAATTTAGCCGTCTTTGAATTAAACTGTGTCTAAACGCTTCTGCGATGCGTCAAACTCTCACTGGAAAGTAAAATAATTGCAACGTCGAATGTAAGACTGCAAATACTACGTCTCGCCGGCGTCAATTCGACTTAATTTGTTTATTTCGATACCGTAACGGAAGAATTTATATCTACAATAATTCTAATTACACTATGATTATTAATTAATTTTTAATCTCGCTTACAATAGCGAACATTTTAACTTTAACCGTGGTATGGCTACGCAGCAGCCAGCGGTTGTTGTACTAATGGGCAAGCTCGTCCACGACCTCACAGAAGACCGGCGTGAAGTGGAAGTATAATACTCGCGTTTGGTCTGTTGAGTGAGGGTTACAGATGCGTTGACAACCTTTTGAAAATTGGGCTCCGGCTACCGCACTCACCAGACGAAACACGAAAGTATTTTTCATACTTCCACTTTACGCTGGTCTTCTGGGAGGTCGTGGTACCTACCCGGACGGGCCTGCCCGTTCGTGCAACAGCCGAGGCTGCTGCGTGGCCCTACCACCGTAAGAACATTTTCTTAAATACTCACTTCGCATGTGTCGATCGGATTCTCCCCGTTCCTGAGTCTGTCCGCCACCTGCTTCGGTATCATCTGGTAGAGCAGCTCGTCGGTCCTCTTCATCTCCTCGTCCAGTTTCCTCATCGACTCTTCCAACTTCTTGCTCTTCTGCTGCTCCTGGTCCAGCGCCAGCTTGAGCTCCACCGACTGCTGGGTACCGGCCAGCATTAGGTCTCTGTTAGGGGTGTTCGTTTTAGACTTTACCGCGCTTCAGTAACTATTGTCACGTACATAAATTTAGTGGTGGTGCGAAAACCATAATGCACCGAGTGAGAGGCTCCCCGGTAGTATGAGGTACGAACGAGTATGCTTTGATTTTAAAACCAGTCAGGCCATTCTACGGTACGTATTCTGGGGTTACGCAACACGAACATATATTCGTTAGCACCCTTAAAACGTTGATTGTTATGGCTAACGGGCCATAACAATCAACTTGTTATGGATAATAGACAGTAACTATTGTCACTTGTCACGGTGTCAAAGGTAGCGTTCACTTTCCTCGTTGAAATGTGGCTTTAAGCTTCTTTAATCACAAACTTGATAAGTGTACAAGGAACTCGAATATACGAAAACTCATTACATAAATAAGAAAAAAAAATATTTTCTATCAGTATCGGTATCTATTAGGTTATATTAAATACATCTAAGATTAAAATAAATAGTAATTTCATCACAGGAAGGTGTGGTTTTATTCTATTAATAGATATTACGTAACAAGATATTTGATTAAATCACAATACGCAACTGACAGCTTCTGATACATGTTCAGAGTCCTGTACTTCGTTGTTAATGAAAGTCTCCGTGAAACGAAGGTAACGATAGAGGCAAACCCGACATTCGTTTCATACATACCTGCTGAAATCGTGCATGGACAGGTCGTTGATGTAGAGCCCGGTGGACACGAGAGCCGCTAGGTCGGGCATAACGGGCGTACCCAAATACATCATCATTCGCCAGTTGTCCATGTAGATCATTTGACCTGACGATTTTCATCCTACTTTTTATTAGTGTTTCACTTGTTACGTCGTATCCGCAGCCCGTGGGCAGACAACAGAATACCGTTGCCATATTTAAATTACGTCATGAAACGAGACGTAATTCTTATATAGGAGACGTAATTATTCTATTTAATGCCGGTGAAATAGAATAATTACGAACTAAGCCAGCCCATTCACAGCAAAACCATGTTGTTGTTGCTTGTTGAAAGAATCGTGTATGAAGAAAGTGACAATATAAAATCTAGTTATGTAGTATTTTTTCTTTCACGTCAGTAAATCAAACACTAATATTATTCTTTATTGTTCTTTTTAATCAGTTGCATGAAAAACTGAAGGTGAAGATAAGAGGCATCACACACACATTTGACATTCGCGATAACAAGATTCTTACGTAATATTTAACGTCCAACGGTTTCTTCATGTTTCAGAATTTCCATTTAGAATAGCGGATGCTGATATAAATGCAAATTATAATGAATACAAATTATAATGTTTGCCTAATTATTAATTTTTAAATGAGTTACTTAATTTTAAAATATATTTTGTATAAGTGTACTGTGAACATGAAAATGGATAAAAGATTTGTATCCCTTTTAAACTAGAGTTTTCAATTCCGTAATTGACATTCTGTTGTTACATTTACATAATCTATTGTGTTGTATAGGTAAGTTATTCGCTATCTGGTGCTTGTTTGCTTTCTATATCACTAGTGCAGTTAGTTATAAATTTTTAAAGCTGTCTAGTAATAGGTAAATCGGTTGGTGCACTATAACGTTTGAGGAAAATAAAAAGAATGGTTGTAAAATTCACACTACTGCTAAACTCTTTATCGAATTGCGTAACTAAAATGTGCGGTGCTCTATTCTTTTGTATATAGCAAAGCGAGTGCTGGAAAATCTAATATGTAATGTTTAGAAAATGGGCTTCCCTCCTCGTATGCATGACTACCTTTGAGATGCAAGTTAATAACATCGGGTAAGCGTCTTCCGTCATACGCGTATCGCGCTTTTGTGACCACGTCTGAAAAATGCACCGTTACCATTAATTTGGGAAACCTTTCTTTAAAAATAGAAAACCGGGTACTGCCACTGTTTAATATTGAATCTTGTGTATTAAGAGGCATTGATAGATATTTGAGAATATTCGCATGAGTCACGATAGCTCAGTATCCGGCCACTTGCTTTTATTACAGCACAATCGGGCACGTTGCGTACAAATCCTGTCACCTGCATCAAATGATATTATATATATATGATACTAGAGAGATATAGATATGATACTAGAGCTTCGAAATTGAGGCCCCCAAATTACACCAATTGGTGTGCCAATTAGATTGCAACTCTATAGACTGCTATCTCTTTCCATATCATACGTTCTATATCATCTGTCACATTCACTTATAATATGTATCATATAATGTAAAGCCGATCTATTTTCAAACGTCGCGCAGTATGGCGTCGTCTAAAACATCATTGCCTGCATCGGTCAAACTGTTATTAAATGCAATTTTAACTTAATGTTTAGAAATTAAAATAATTTTCGATTTTCTTCGATATCGCTCGTTTGTTTACATGCGATTTTATTTCACTATATCTCATTTTTACGAAGACTAACATTTACACTCACCTGTTGGATTATTTCTATATTTCAGAAAAAAGATTCAAGTTTTAACAACAACGCTTTGATGTACAGACATTTCAATAAATAAATTACTAATGCTCGCGCTGGAATTAGCAAAATTAATATAAACGCCACGGGACTTTAAGAATTAGAGGAAAATAAAAAAGGAACGAATTTCCCGCGGGATCGTAATATAATTTCATTGAATAGGGAAACTCTTATATCTCAGCTTAAGAATCCTCTGTAACATCGTAGAAGACATAGGCGGTGCTATATTAACATAATTTTAATTTTCCCACAAAGCAAATTGAATCAAACATTTTTTTTGTAGCGATGGCACGAAGCATGCCATCCTTATTTTCTAAACATATAAAGTTTTATCTGTATCCAAACAAAAATCTGTAAAGGTACAATACCGAATGACTATGACGCCAATAACTCTGATTATTTTCTAAAAGTCTAAAACATCTATTAAATATTAAATAATTTTGCGACTGGTTAGGGTATAGTTTAGGCCACTTTGAATAAAAAAAAATCGGGCTAAAATGACAAGATTGCTTGAGTAGTCAAATATTTTTTTATGTATATCCTACATGGGCGTATAACTCCCAGATTGATATGACAGTATTATTTTAAACAAGGTCATTCATTGTAATAAAATAATTATAGTCATAGTTTAATGTAACAGCGACATTAAACTCTAATCATGAATTTGCAAGTAATTAACTCGTGCTATTACATTTATTGCAATGTGTAACATATGCTTTTTAATTGTACTTTTGTTGTTTTGTTTGAAATAAAATTAAAAATAAAATATATATAGTAGTATATGCTAGTAGTGTACTAATTATGTCCCACATCGTCTAATCTTGTCGACATACGTTTCCATAGATCATATTACATAGTTATGTTGTAGACAAGTTGTCAACAGTGTTAATCGTCCCCCGCCCATGTAGTTGAGGTATTTATCTAATTTTATACGTAAGCAAACCTTAATATTGTGTGATCGTTACTTTACTTTTTTTTTAAGTCCGTTAATGTTTCTGTAAGGAAGTTTTACAAACAAAAATTTCACACGGACAAACACCCAGATGTGAATCAATTCTCTGTGGGGCACACAAATAGTTGTCTCGTGTGGGAGTCGAACCCACTACTCCCGACGTCGAAGCCAATACCTTGGCAACTGCGCCACGGAGTCATCTTCCCTATACGCATAAGTATGAATGCCTCCACCTCACGGCTGTTCTCTTTAAAGGCGTTGTCTTCCACGCTTAAGGTCATTTTTGTAACAGAGGCATCTGCTGTAGTGAAAACTTCAAGGTAAACGTCATCGCCTCTATTAAAGTGGCCAATTTGATACCTACCTTTGAGACGGAGATTCTTCTCAGTGGTCCCGTCAGACTCGTCTGAGAGACGCACCAGCTCGTTGCGTTTGTCGGGCGCCTTCTCGTGCATCACAGCTTCCACCGTTACCAGCTCGAAGATGTTGTTCGTGCGATTCAAGATCTGCAGGCAGGATAGCGTTCACCTATCTAGATGGGCTTGAATCTAATAGATTTGCTAATGTGATACGTTTTCTTTGGCGCGGGTTTTGTTTATTTTATAGAAGGTGGTAAACACGGACCTTTAATTCTCAAGTGGTTTTGGGATGAATACCTGATCGAAGTGATGAGATGAAACTTAATTTAACATGAAGTTTAAGTAATTTTACTTAGCGCCGGTGTGCTATATGATTCAAGTGAAATATTAAAGAAACTAATGAGTGGCGCTACTTCAGTAAAGTACGCGGTGTGAGTATCTTCCTGAATTTAATTTTGTCTTAGCAAAATTTGAAAAAATAACTGGTATAGTATCATAAAGGGTAAAACAATTATTATGTATCCGTGACGGTTAGATTGACGGTAATTGACTGGATAAGGCAAGGCCTAAGAGGGTAAAAATATCCTAACAACTAAACGCAAGAAAATGGGATACTTTTCGCCTGTCGAAATCATCAGATGCCGAAAACAAGCCACATAAATCTTTGCAATAATTTAGAAGTTTAAAAGAGATTTACAATCGAGTTAGAAGTTTCTCGAATTCTCAGTTAGAATTTCCAACAATTAACAAAGCAATTCTCTCTGCATATTTATTCGATGTTAACATTTTTTTATGCGAAAAGTTAAGCGAGCAGGCGGTTCACCTGATATTAAATGAACATCGCCGCTCATGGACGTCTACAACACCCAATGGCTGGTTGTTTGATAACCTTTAAAAATGTGGACCCCGGTTACTCCACTTACCAGACGAAATACGTTTGATACATCCACCTCAGGCCGGTGTTCTGTGAGGCCGTGGTACTTCCCCTGAGCGTGCAACAGTAGAAGCCGTTATGTGTCCTTACCACAGTAACTAGATCGAAATGTTCCATTGTAATCGATAAAGCGATACTCACAGTTTCGAATTTGAACGCAATAAGCGGACGCACCAAGTCGAACCAGTTGGTGATCTTCTTCCCCACCAGATCTGGTAGTATCACCATCAGCGAGTTGCCAATGCTGCGAACCACCATGTCTGAACTGGAACGGTCATATTCGTGAATATTCTATTCTCATCTGCTGATAATTGTTGATTTGATGATATTACTTGTAGTAGCAGCATTACAAAGAGCATCATTGGGAATTAATATGTATGTATTTCTCAAAGCTGTTATATTGGTGGTACTCTACAGACACATCACTACATAGTATAAAACAAAGTCGCCCCGTATGCTTAGATCTTTAAAACTACGCAACGGATCTTGATGCGGTTTTTTTGACTAGGTAGAGTCATTCTATGTATAATATATTGCACCCCTAGATTTATATGTATAATACATTGCACCCCTGCGAAGCCGGGGCGGATCGCTAATTTGATCATAATTCAAATTTTTAAGATATAAATATGAATGGTTTTAAAATTAATGGTTTGCTTAGAAAACTTTAACAAAGTCAATTTTCAGAATAAAGACAAGGCGTCTTAAATTGACCTGTATCAATACAGACGCAAACGACCAAAAATTAACGATGAAGATATTTAGTGCTAACATAATATTGTATGTTTCAATTCTCAACATGTCAAAACATTTTATCTAGTAATAACGACATTTAAGTTCCAGCCGAGTGCTCCACGACAGTGACGCATTTTTTTTAATAATACAAATGATATTTAACGTTACTCATCAATGTTAAACAGTTTTGGTTCGTTAATACTTGCATGTATTTGCTTATTTCTACATTCTCGTATAATCATTAGGTGACTGATCACGATAAAGTAACGGCACGTTAACGTCAACTTTTGATTTCTTTTGTATTGTGGAGTGTGCTGCCTTTCGAAATTAGGACAGCTAAAAGTCGCTCTGCATTTATATATATATATATATCATATTTAAAATCACTCGTAAGTAATTAATTACATTCATTTGAACTTATCTCAAAAAGTGCGTGATTTATACGCAACTCATTTATTTTACGCGCGATCATTCATAACTAACACGCACACAAGTTCTTTCACAGTAAAATTTTGATAATTATGAATCACTACCGCATTGTCAACATGTTCTATTTTTTAGGGAATAGAATGACGTTTTTTAGAAAAAGAAACTTTGTTTTTTATTTCAATAGACGATTATACTACCGAGGCTGAAACTCCTGTGTAAATTTGGGCACTTCTTAAAAAATCTGCCTGTATATGTATCTATACATGTATGTGTACATGTATTGCACAACTACGTATATATTAAACCCAATTTGGACCATCTCAAATGATTTGTATTAAGTTTTCGGCCTTCAAGATTGTTTATGTGTCCATCAGAACCAGTACACATAAGTAATTTTTGTTATATAAAAAACTAGAAATCCATAAAGAATAGTAATTAAAACAAATACATTATACAATTATTTCTATATTATATTAAAAAAATGCAAATCCATGAAAAAGAGTAATTAAATGAAATAGATTATATAATGATTTACTACATACCCGAAAACGATGCAGAAGGGAAATATCTCGAACAGCACCGAAGCGCTTATGGGCAGATGTTTCTCTTCCCTGGTCATGGCTAGCGAGGCCAGGGTGAAGGCCCTGTTGTCGAAGGTCAGCTGGAAGGTTACGTGCACCGTGTCGAAGAGCAACTCCTCGCGGACCAACTCAATACGCATCTCCTTATGGTAGAAATGTCGGGCTACCTGGAAAAATACAATTCTGTAGAAACAACTTGTATAATAATTTGTATGAACAATATCATAAATTAGACAATTTATAAAGTATCCGATGACTCGAAGGCGCAGTTGCCGAGCTATTTGCCTTCGATGTCGGGAGTTCGATTATTATAAGGGACAAGTGAGACCTACCTATAATTGTCAGGCAGCAATTATTACAAGAAAACCTGGCCAGGTTATAATAATTGCTGTGGTATCTATTAGCTAATAGATACCACTCAAAATTATGATTCACACCTGTGCTGATCCAACTTAGTTGGCATAGCGGCAGGAGGATGATGATAAATATTATTAAATATTTCCGAACGCGTGAAAAGATTTTAAATTAAGAACATAAAATTGGCGGTATCAGTAGATTATCATAATCATTATCATTTCACCCTGTTCTAGCACACTGTTGAATTTAGGCCTGCCCAAAGACTGCCACAAAGCACGATCCTGAGCCACCTGCACCAACGACTCCCCGTACATTTGCACAGGTCACTCCATCTAGTGGGGGTCATCCTACACTGCGATGGCCAATACGAGGTTGTCACTCGAGAACCTTTCTTCCAACCGTTAACGGTTCTACGTGCTATAATCCATCGCCGGAGTACTTAACTTTAAATTTCAAAATGATATCTTTCTATTCTTTTTGCAAGGTGTTATGATACAATATAGGCACCGACTCCAAAATTGTTAAATTATGTTAGAGATTAAGTAGATTAGGTTATAGAGGTTAGATTTTCAAGATTTGATTAAATTAGATTTAGTATTATTATAAACTTTAGTTTAGTACTATTAGAGCTTTTTGTACACGGTTCTTTTTTTTGTTCAAAAGTTTTTTATGCAATAACGTGTAAATCTACACAGAGTACAAAAGTGATGTGATTCTATTAATTTGTTTTTCATACATAACGTTTGGAAGAAAGATCCTTTTATAAATTATTAATGTTAAGGGGTCGAATTCAGTTACAATATGAGGTGGAAAAGGTCTCGCAGTAACTGACTATAATTTTGAAGAAAGTAATACGCTGAATTATTTATACTCACTATAAAGAATATTTATTCACTTAAAATAGTTGTGGGCGGGGAATTTAAACTGATAGTGTTACATAACGTATTAAAGGAAAGATACATAAACATCACGCATTATTTTCCAGTAGTGGGGATTGAACACACACCTTGTAGTGCAAGATCTGGAATTCATTTCATTAGATCAAGTCTGTGATCATCATAGAAATTAACTAATCAGCTGTCAAATGGCTTTTCAAATGTCATTTGAGTTGCCAAATGGATGGTTAAACTCTTTCTCGATCATTCTGATCATTAAGAATATCATTCTGATAAATTCAGCCAATCGACAGCCGATTAGTTAATTTCTAGGATGATCAGTGTTTCAGAAACAGTAAGATCTCAAGAATGGAAAAATAAAACTTAAAAATTAATCCGCTCTGTTTTTTATGGTTTGTCTACCTTCGGTCGAAGTTATGTTAGAATTCTCGAATAGAAGGTATAACAACGAATGACGATGGGTAATACTGCATTATGCTTATATGCACAAAGTAATACAGAGTATAATATTTCTTTGAGACTGCCGGGCCGCAGCGTTATGGCGCGTACGTTAAATTTTATGTTATCCGTGCATTGTTTCATTACAAAAAACGTGAATCTAGTTCTTGAATAATCTCCCTAACCGTCCAAAGTATTCCGTATTATGTCTTTAGTTATTTGTTTTGCTAATAATTAGTTGCAATAAGACCTGAACTTAAAAAAACGTAAGCTTTTAAAGCGTTTAGATTTTTTAAACTACGCAACGGATTTTAATATGCATATTAAAAGTAAAGACAATCTTAATTGCAACCGTGCGAAGCCAGGGCGGGTTGCTAGTAAATAATAAAACGTTTATGTAAAGTAGACTTATCTACGGGCTTGTAACTATTGAAAACTATACAAGGAAAGGTCTACTCTGAATTGCCTTAAGCGATAGGTTTCAGTGTGAGACTTATTTGTATTTTAGGTCTATTTGGATATAGCGTGAATAATGTAGTAACACGCTTTTATTAGCTTGGTATGTATGTATGAAATGGAATCTTCAAACGTGATTTTAAACATTATCAAAACGTACTACACAAACCTGTTGGGGAATTTTAAGGAGCGTTGCTCTCAATTATGGTCCGAGTAGTTTGATCATTCACGAAAGATTTATTTGGCATAATACAACCAACCTTACCTCGGATGCCATGGTTTGATAGAAGTGATGTGGGAAGTCATAACATAACGACGAGTTTCAGATTGCGCTCAGGACATATCCCATTGAATTAATTTACATTTATGATGGGAAAATCAGATTCCCTCAATTGTTTCGAATATAGTGTGGTCTAACATATCTATCATATTTTGATGGTGTGTGCGAAATGCGTAGGAGACAGATATTTGTGTCTCAAAATATTTCTGCTGCATTTAGTGTTAGCTGGTGTAACAGTGTTTTATCTGCCACTCTTTCAGAGGAAGCCAAATTATTATACCGGCTGACACAAGCAGGAATAAAGAACCGTGTTAATACTTATTGATTATGCTATTGTTTAATATTATCGTGTTATTTAATTGGTTGTTTTTAGGGGGCTACGTCTTCAATTGTGAACTACATAAAATAAAGAAAAAAAAAACATCAAAAACGTAGAATTAACTTGAAACTTTACACACTTAAAAAGGACCCATGACAATGCAATCATTTAATTTGTTTTTCGCATTATCGTCATCAGGATTAGCGATTTTCCAAATCCTATACCCTGTATCGGTATCTTTGTACCAAGTACGCTTTTAAAAAATGTTTAAAAAAACACGCGCTTTAGTAGTTAACAGAAATAATAGAAAATAGATAATAAATTAAAAAAAAAAAAAAAACGCTTCTGCAGATAAGTGGACTAAAAAGTAGAAAATAATTATCAAGAAATATATGTTAAAAATTTAGTGACTAACAAAAAAAATCCTCAAACGTAGAAAAGAGTGTGGTGCTATTCATGATATTTCCAAAATGACTCTATTTTTACCAATATCTGTCATTAAAATATTGTAACAATTGACTCAAATCACCCCACGCTTTTTAAATAATAGAAGCATTATCTCTCTATCTAGCTCCTTTCTGTCTCTCGATGTCTCTCTCCTTCCCTTTTTAATTCACTCTTACTTTGATGATCACACACAAGAGGTATGTCTTTCGTTGCAACTTTCTTTTTACTTAATTTCATACCCAATAGCAATTTTTTTTGATAAATTTCTGAGGTTGCCTGGAAGAAATTACTGTGTAGCAATAATATAAATATAATAAAATAAATATAATAAATAAGGCCTTTTGATGACCAATATTTGATAAATATTTTGTTCAGTTCTGTACTTTTTTCTTTTTTGGTGTACAATAATATGCTTTATATTTTTTTGGTGTACAATATTATGTTGGGGATATTTCTTTGTTTTCTCATCTAGTTGGGTTTATAGATAAAAAATAAACATATAGATATGTATTATATTATCATTACTATTATTATTAAAAGTTTTTTTTAAACACACTATTCAAAATTTAAATTTATAATAAATATTTTCTACCTGTTAGTTCCTTTATCTCAGTGAACTCAAATAAAACATTGTGTTCCCTGTTTTATGTACAAAACCGTGTTTTTCAGTTTTTTTTAATATTATTTTCATTAATATTGTACATTATATATATAATTATATGTATATATTGTTGTCTATAACTCTTACCTGAGGAGGGTTTGCCGTTTATAGAACGAGATATCCCGAGTGGTTGGTATCGAACTTTTTATCACAACCGTTCCTAATTTTTAAAAAGCATGTGCATTTCTTTAACAGCATTTAGCCATAGTCAGGAATATCCTACTCATGTTTTTTTTATTGCTTAGGTACTAATTGTTCTCTTATCCTCTTTTGAACTTTTGAAATTGGCCACATAATGTGCAGGATGTGAGTTTTCGGAAAATATATAAAATAAGATAAAAAAAGACGGATGAGTTGTGTAAGGTATATTGCCGAAAATGAAATAATTATATCTGTAAAGTTAACCTTCTTTTGATGAAATTATACTATTATGCTAAAATAACATAGAAAATATAAACCATCAAAATTATAAAGGTTTAATATAAAGAAGCTATATTTTTCATGAATTTCGTTTTCTCTTGAATAACAATTAATGCTTTACGTATTCTTGAGGTAAAGCTCTTCTTGAATACATCTTTATTTTGTAACGTTTACTTTATAAGTAACGTATGACTTTATGTAGGTCTTATATATTTTAAACATGCTGTAACTTACTACTAATTTCGCTTTCCTTTATATATGGGGGCGTAGCTCAGATGGTAGAGCGCTCGCTTAGCATGCGAGAGGTACCGGGATCGATACCCGGCGCCTCCACAACTCCTTTTTGTTAAAGACAACAAAAATCTGAAACGTTATCTTTGTTTTTTTTTAATTTAACGGCTTTTTACTATGATATTTATATGAATACATTTTTATTTAAAAGTGGACTGTAGTAAAATATAGAAAAGTAGCTATTAAAATAATAATAATATATGTTTTGCGATGGCTATGTACGTCCTTTAACTTAGACTATGCGAAAGTTACGTGTAGAAAATTATAATTATTTCTTGACATGTCAGGAACATACTATTATTTTCTATTTTCACCACTCGAACATAGTCGTAATGCCGTTTGTTGACTCACCTCTCTTATCTGGCCCATAGCGTAATACACGAAGCCTCTCCGCTTCGATCTATAATGCAAGGTCAGCCCATGTCTTGTTTCGTTTTCGCATATGAAACTGGGCGCTCGCATCCGCGGATAACTGAATTTGAGGTACTCGTGTAGATTGTCCAAGCCGTTTAGAAAATCCCGCATGTGTCGTCCCAGAACTGACAGCACTCTGTCGTAGCCGTACTGCGACACGAAACCTACGAAGTACACACCCATTTGGTCCATGAACTCTCGCTCGGAAATACCCAAGACCTGAAAATAAATATTATATATATATATTAAGCTTGAGATTTAATTAATATTATAAATATAATATATATTGAGCGCCTGACAGAATTTATTTCGCAATTTTACTAGTTCATCACATTGCTGTACTCATATTTTAAAATTAAACATTTTATTTTTTTGCGCACGTGGAATTTGGGTGAAACTTTAAGGTATTCTTTATTGTAGATATTTCGGAGCTTTAATAGCATATGTTGGGAATTTAAATAAATAAACCGAGAAATTTGCTTTATGAAAATGATTTTCGGTAAACCCAATCCAGACAAAACTAAATGCATCCTGTAATAATTTAATCTTATTTAAAATAAAAAAGTAAGTATAAATATTTTTGGAAATTCGTTAATTATATATTCATTTTTACAAACTGATTATATGTTTATTTAATAAATATTTTTGTTCATTACATATTAATAATATTAGGCTTTTGTTATCCGACACAAAATTGGTAATAAATCTAAATAAAATTGTAAAATTTTTATATTCATAAAATAAAAATTAAATTAATAATTAGAAATAAATTTAAGATCCTGTTTTATAATTTCATTTAATACGTTATCGGGGGTGTAACTCAGTGGTAGAGTGTCTGCTTCGCATGCTGAAAGTCCTGGGTTCAAATCCCAGCACCTCCAAATACAATTTTACGTTTTTGTTTAGTTATTAGATACAAAATTTGTTTTAATAAAAATATAAAACAGCTTTGTTATTTTTTTGTTTTTTTTTTAATTGACTAATCTATAAATTATCTAATATTTTTTACATCATCACTAATTTGAGCCCATATTTCTGTGCTTATTGTTGCGCAATTTTAAATGTTTGATTCAGGTTTCTGAAATCAGTTAACTACAAAAGAAGAAGACAAACAAAAATATTATATAATACACATATAATATAAACAGGTATCATTTTTTTATTTTATATATGTTTAAAGTAAATAATTTTTATTGAAATAATTAGAATTGAAATAATAGAATATGAAAACATTCATTCTTATTATAAATTTATGTCTCCTAAAATTATATAGTGATGATGAATTATATATTAATGAATAAAAGTAATAATTTAAAATGGTAAAAAAAGAGACAAGGCATGAAAAAAAAAAAGTGACAAAAAGGTATTGTGGCCCATGAGGGGATCGAACCCGCGACCTTCGCGTTATTAGCACGACGCTCTAACCAACTGAGCTAATGGGCCAATGACACATGTGTTGAAAATCTTGAATTCTTACAGTATTAATATTGTATAACTTAAATTTTAAGATTTTTCATACGTATATTGGCGACACTCAGAAATTTCAATTTGAGTGTAGGTGAGAAATTGAAATTTCTTTCTGTCTTTCTGTTTCTTATTTAATATTTTGAAATACTTATTTATTTGGATGATATGTAGAGCACCTGATTGGTCAAAAGATTGGAATCAGCAATTTTTATTACTGCAAAATTAGACCCTTTGATTTCTTTTTGCAGCTTTTTAGATTTTGTTTGTTCATCATCATCATCATCAAAATTTCAGCCTATTTGAGTCCACTGCTGAACATAGGCCTCCCCCATAGACTGCCAAGAAACGAAGACGATCCTGAGTCACCTGCATCCATCGACTTCCCGCACACTTGCACAGGTCGTTACTCCTTCTAGTCGGGATCGTCCAACCCCCCTCTGCCTGGTACTCGAGAACCTTTTTTCCCCTTACCTTACCCTCTGAGCTATGTCGGTTATCTTTGTTCTACTGCAGATGTCTTCGTTGCAAACCCTATCACAGCCAAGTTATTATGGAAAGCGGTCCTATTTTTGAAAAGATTGATTGATTGCTACACGAGAGTCGATTAACGTGATTAACGATAACGATAACGAGTGCAGTAAAAAGTGCACCTAACGAAACTAACCAATAAATTTAAAGTAAAACATTCAAATTGCTCTTAGTTTATGACAATCACTTTCATTTCTTGTTTTTTTTTAAGTAAAGAGCTGGCAAGGGAGCAGGCACCAACTGTTAAGTGAATATTGCAACTCATGGGCATCCAATATAAGGTATTATCTATGTCGGCATCCACAAAACCTGACGGGTTGCAGAGGTTCCGGTTACCTTACTCACCAGATGAAACGCTCACGTGAGCAACAAAAGAAGCAATTTTACTTTATTCTTAATTAGTAAGCAGAGATCGGACAAACAAATAATCATTACGAACAAATAAGAACACACGATGACGAAACAATTAATTAAAATGGTAAAAATTAAAAAGCCGCAAAAAACTTTCTTTTACATAGATGTCAGCGCCATCTAGTATTTCCATAAAAAGGCATGTTAGCGAAGGTGACCTCTGAAATTTGTAACAGGTCAACGGCGCGGCGTCGGGTTATTTTTCTGTTACTTAATTTACTTATTTTAATGATTTAGATTAACTTGCGGACCCTTACTTTAATTTGTGCGAATATGAAACATTGGGTTGTTTTGTTATTCATAATTTCACACGATCTAATTCTTTAGCGTCGAGTTAATGGGCCGCTTTATTTAAATTTAAGCCCATTGAAGAAATGCAAGAGTTTTAACTGTCTCAATTAAATTAACTTGATTAGTTGAATAGTGATGAAATCGATTTGTTTTCAATTTATGAAAGTTTCCGATCGGTATTTAAGCCAATCGTTTATTATAATATAACTAATAATTGATATTACAATGTGTTCTAAGTTATTATTTATGCTATAATATATTATGGAGAAAGAATGCAAATGCGCATATTCTGTGAGTTTCTTTGTATGTGGAGGGTATTCTCTGAAACCATTGCACCTATTTGATAAATTCTTTCACCATTTGAAAGACACATTACTATTATACAAAAGACATAATGTATGTAAATGTTACAAACCCAAAATGTTTACAATAATAATTACATTGCACATAAGCGAACGGTATTTAAGCAGCACTGTTTACATCAAATTTTTAATTAATTTTATTTTACGAAATAAAGTGAATATTTTTCGTTGAGAGAATCAATAATTAATTTTTTTACATATACTGAAAAATGTTGACGACCGTGGAATATCATCAAATGTTACGCTTCCATCATAAATGTATTAGCCCCCAAAAACCTATTTGCACTCTTTACAGAATTTGCGTTTTCCTAAAATAATTTCCAAGGAGGTTTGACATCAGGCAGGCAGTCAGTCGTAAAAAAATCAACACAACAAAAACACAATTCACATGTTTTATTGACCTTACCTGGGTATAGGATAAAGGATAATAACAATGTGTTTTTCAGTTATTGTTGCGCCGTGGGGATGAGAGAGCAACTATTCGCTCAAAGGTTAAATATAACCAGTTTGTTATTTCAACGAGGATTTTTTTTTAGAAAATTCCGATAATTCTACTGTGTCTTTGTAATGATGCCCCGTCTATTGTATGTATTACTCGTTTATTTCAAAATATAAAAGTTAAGTGAAATTTATTTGCTGAGACTTTCCTGTTTGCTATTGCTAAACGACACAAATTACCTTAAAATGTACTTGAAATTATTTCGCAATATATTATTGAAGATTGAGACCATTTTCCGTATCATGAATGTTTTTATTATTTCCTTATTATAAAATGCTATTCATTCCATTTCCAAGAGAGCAAAAGTCTTTCATTTAATGAACAGTAGGTAATAGAGCAGAATTCGTTGAGAAAAATTTGGTGAACCTTCGCAAATTTCAGCTTAACATTTGTCGTTATATATTTCGCCATTTATTTACTATTAGTGTACAAGATGAACTTTAACAGAAATGTAATGTAACATTATTCATAAGAATATAGTGACTTATTATCTAAATAATCTAAAACCATCAATTGTTAGGATGTGATAGACATACTCTACCATTCCAAAATTCAAGACAGTCAAATCAGCAACAAAATTTTTAATAGAATAGATGCGATTTTAGATTTTTTAATAACAATATAATATAAAATTATATAAATCATTAAAATTAACAGTTATTCAAATGCGATAGAGTTTCGATCTGCCACATATTCCTTAGAAATTCAGTAAAACGTTCATGATGATTCTAATGAGCCATTTAAAATTAACGACTTTCAGGAACTGCCTGTACTTTGAATCAACACGGAAGGCTGAGATGGGTCGTTTTTATGGTTAATAAAATGCATATATAATACTGTATACTTTATCTGTAACGTTGTTTTAAGTGCAAGTACGGCGACGGTTGTTACAATTACAATTACGTATTTAAATAAAAAATTGTAAAATTGGAATCATTAGTTTTTGGCATTCATGATTAGCGTATGACCCATTTAAAAAGCTGCGTTGGTATAGAACTTCAAGATTTATGAACTTCATTTTTAACTTTATTTGCATTGAATAAAATCAAGTACTTGCTAAGAGGTTATAGCGGATGTGCAACACCCTCATTAAACAAAGTCTACTGTTAATTTTATTCGAATTATACAGCAAAAATCATATAGAACATGTAGTAAAAATAAACCAATAGAATTGAGAACCTCCTCCTTTGAAGTTTTTTGATTAATAAAAGACATTAAACGAGTTCTTCTTAGAGCTACCGTCAATTGTTTATGGGACAAAATAATAATCTTTGAATAAAATTCGAATACTAAAGTTAAAAACTTAAATTTCCATATTAGCTATATGCCCATTCACTACCATAGTGCACGTCAGAATGTCTTACGTTAATATAGTTCACCAAGTAAATAAAAAAAATATACTTTTTATACGTGCGTGCTTTTACCTTGCTGCTCTTTACTGGACTCTTTTTACGCAAAATCAAATAAATTTTAGTGTTAATGGCTAAAAGAATTATAAATCCGTTCATATAGCTGTTAATGTATGGAACATAGAAGAACATGGAAAAATAAAATTCTTCGTTTGTAAAGATTTGACCAATCCCTAAACCATCACATAGTTAGAGGATCCCTAAGCTAAAGAAGAATCACGAACACAATGCGTCGTTCTAAATATTAAAGCACGCTTGCAGACTTAAGACATCATTCGGTTCACTGCTATCCCCGAGTCGACCTGACTCATTCTATTTTTGATTGACCAATAATAACAAATTGTCCTATGTTATCTAAATTTAGTATCGTAGTACTCGTGTTATCTTCTAATTCATAATAATCGGATGCACTTACTTTCTTAATTGCTATTTTCTAAGGTATTTAATTTGTGACGGTATGCATTGTATTATTAACTTGTTAATTGGCTGATTCCTTTAGTTTATGCGAACACTTCAGATTGAAGTACAACTTTCAAGTAATTTACTCTAAGTTAATGACATGTGTCAGTGAATTATTTACATAGTCAATAAGAAACCGTTATATGACACTATTAAAATACAAATAGGTACATAATGAAGTCAGTTAAAAATTGGATATTAATTTATAAAAATTTATAACCAAGTTCTTCTTTAGTTCTTAGTAATCACACTAATATTACTAAAACTAATTTTGGGATAAACATCATTTAATTGTAGATAAATGTAATAACGCTATGATAGACTTCGACTGGTATTTAATAATGAATCCTCATCCTGTGCCACTGTTTACAATAGATTTAATGAGTTTAAGAATGGGCGTAGCAATCTCACAGCCGGCTTCTGAAACCCTCATCATCGTAGAATTCAACTAATCAGCTGTCAACTGGATTTTCAAATGTTATTTGAGTTGCCAAAAGGATTGTTAAACTCTCTGAATTGATTAGAATGATCTTAATGATCAGAATGAAAATAATTATCTGGAAATAATTAACTAAAACTAACGCTTAACAAACTAAAGCTTTCAAATGTCTTTATTGTTTGAGTCTTTACTAATGAAAAGTATTTAATTAACTATACCAAATGAATAAAATACGTAGGTATATTACCCAGAATGTCAATTGACACCCACATTCACAAAATATAACAAAGGAATGTAAAATGTTGTTAAAAGTTCCTTCAGATCGACACGAGCGACGTTTTGAATGCTAATAAGAATTAAAGAATAAGATTTTTAAACATAAAATTAGTTCGTGATACTTCATCTAATCGTACATCTAATCATTTGTTTTGGGGTATATATATGTAATTATTATACCAGCGATATTTTGCAATCATTTTTGTAACATTTATTAATAAAGTACTTAGAGAAGGTAGTCCCTTCAATATAATAACAGTAAAAAAATTCATGATTATGGGGTAGGATTACAATTTGTTTTTTTTTTTATAATCCAATCTACTATATCCGAAAACGTTTTTTTTACTTTATACTATAATTGTTGAAGTAAATAACATTTTAATAAAATAATTTTGTTTTGTACGCACTTTTACTTCACACCGGTCTTCTGTGAGGTCGTGGTACTTACCTGGACGGACCTGCCCATTCGTGCAACAACCGAATCTGTTACGTGGCCCTACCACACCATGTGACAGATAACGTATAATTTGTTTTCTCCGTCATACCTCTTGCGCTTTCTTTGCCAATCTCGCGATGAGGTTCTCTGGGTATACTTGATGGACGGAGAAGGAGGGTTGTTCTACTCCCGCCTGCCTCCTGATATCCTCCCACCTCTCTTCGCCGTACGTCTGACGGATGTATTCCGCCATATTCTCCAGAAGCAATCCGTACATTTTGAGGCCTGGCAACAAAAACATTTTTTTGATTATCTGTCACAATAATTTATTGCCAGTAATAATAGTAGGAACGGAAGATATGAAGAAAATTTGACCAGTGCAACTACCGTGCTATTATAGCGCATATAAAACAATTTTTGATTGATTAAGAATTGTCATAATTTTTACATATTCTAAAACGTAAATACAATTTTGTCGTTAATCGCCTTAATGTCACTGTTAACATGTCTATACCGTCTGTTTTTAAAATTATAATGTACATCAGATTAGTCGATGTGATTTAATGTTATCTCAGACTGCAGATTCTTTAGGGTTTAATGTCGATATATCTTTTTTCTTTGACCTATGTATGAAAGAGAAACCTTATTCGCACTATCCAGATTTCATAGAAATAGAAGATCGCAACCACCAAAAGATTTTCTATCACTAGAGTGAATAAAGATCGTATTTATTTACATGTTAATATAGGAGTGGTAAATAGTTAATACATTGTTTTCTTAACCAGTTCTATCGAGGGAAAAATACAGAGCTTTTAAAATGATAAGTGTACAAATCTATATTATTTGTGAACAAATCCATGCAGCCATTACTATAAATAATCATTTGGTTAGCGCGTTTCAAATTGAGATATTTGAAAACAAAACACGATCGCCGCAAACCAAATTTGGATGGAATGACGCAAATCCTCCCACATTAAATAAATTATGTGATTGCCGATGGACCCGTAAATTGGTACCGTCTGTTAGTTTAGTATTCACAGATATAATTTCATAGTTAATTCGTCTATATCAAGATCAATGGGAATAGATTATCCAATGAACTCTAAATAAGTCAATTTAGGTGTTATGAGGAATTGATTTCAAAGCTTCAAAGGGTAAAACGGCACCCTATTATTGAGACTTCGTTGTCTGTCTGTCTGTCCGCCTGTCACCATGCTGTATCTCATGAACCGTGATAGGTAGACAGTTGAAATTTTCACAGATTATGTACTTCTGTTGCCGCTGTAACAAAAAATACTAAAAAACGGAAATAAATATTATTTAAGTGGGGCTCTAATTCTTATTCTCAGACATTATTTTTTTGCCATTTTTATAGATAATGATACGTTTGTTTATCTAAAAAGTTGGAGTACGCGTTCGACTCGCACTTGGCCGGTTTTTTAAGATAAGCCGATATACAAAAGTAGTTTACTCTTTTGGGATGTAAGTAATAAATACTTAACGAAATGTTTAGCGTTATTGGAATAACTCCTAAGTTTGTTTTATTGTGTTGAAAAAAGTTTTATTAGATTAAATTATTTATTAATTAATTGAAATGTTTGCAGACTGAACCGTTGCAGTATGTTTACAAACTGAGTGATTAGTGCTTGATTATATGCGGGTACCGGTATTTGGTTAGAGTTGTATTATGATTATAATCAAACTAATACACGAAACTTCCGTTGAACTCAGAAGATATACATCACGTGGAGCAAGACGATTGAATTAAAAAAGGTGAATATATAATTTAATACTGCGGGTGATAATTGTTATTATAATTTAAATTTTTTGACAACACTCATGACTAAATCTCGTCAACACTTACTAAACGAAAAAAATCGCCTGACAAACCGAGGTGATAAGGTTCGGAACTTTTTGATTTCGCCCATTAATATATAGTTACTAGCTGACCCGGCAAATGTTTTGCTAATTTTTTAAAAGAAAATTAAAAATTGTTTTTCATTAAAGTATTTTTTTAAGGTATTAACACCCGAAAAAAGAACTTAGTTTATTAGTATTAATTCTATATGACTATATTTATTTTAACGCTGATGCTAAAGAAAAATGTACCTTTGTTTTTTGTGTCTGATAAAGTAACTTGAAAGAACTAAGTATAAAAACTCGGTATCACACCTGACATTATATTAATATTCCTGTTTAGGTAGCTTAGGTATTAAATAGATGTAACATATAAATCTGTTAAGGAAAACAAGTTGTAATATCTTACGAAATTGTACAATTTCTCGTAATGCGATACGACAGCGCAAGCCACACCTGTGTTATATTGCTATCATTATTTTCTTCGCTGTCCTTTGCGTCCTATCTTTCTCTTAACGCCTCATGAATCTTGCAGAATAGGTGTCGCAAACGATGACTGATACCCGTTTCAATTTTATTAGCCAATCCCTTTTAATAATATCTTTTAACTAATATAAACGTGTTATAAATATAGCTAAAACAATATGTAGCACATTTGTAAAGATCGAACGATGAAATGAATATTTTTATTGGTTAAATTAGAGATGCAACGAATTTTTGACTGAATTTTCGCATTCGGTTTATTCGGCTATATATTCCGTTATTTTGCCGAACAATTAAATGAATATTTCAATATAATCCTTTTTAGATTTTCGCATATTTAAATAGGTTATTCAAGAACGGTATAACAAATATAAGTTAACAAACACAAACGCATCCTTGTGTGGCCATCACTAGTCCACAGAATAGAAAATCATCTTAATTCAGGTTGTGAGTAAAATGATAATTTTTTTCAACATACGAAAGAGAAAGAAACTGCTAAATATTATTCTATAAGTAATGTTAATAATTTTAATATACGTGACGAATTTTTTTTTGTTTCGAAAATGAAACTCAACGTAATTCAATATTTATTTTAAAATCAACGTTCACTTAATAAAATGTACCAACTGAGTGATGGAGTTTATAAGATGATGGTATCTTACGAACCTATATACATAATCTTTGATGTAAAATTTGACAATTCATAAGAGCGCGCAAGCGTCTATTTGAATAAATATATTTTTGATTTTGATTTTGATTTTGACAAGAAATATTTTATTTATAATGGAACTGCGTTGATCTGGTCTATCAAATCAACATAATATACAGGTATCTTTGGGTCTGGGGTTGTTACATTACCATTAAAGTATAGACATTTTCATATTGCCTCTGTATTAACAGTAACAGTACACTCTGGGTCCCGTCAAATTACAGTACAGTGTGACCGATTGAAAGGGGACTTGTTAGCGCGTTCAGACTGAAATAAAGAAAACAACAAATAGTCTAAACAATTATTGCCGCAATTTTATTGCATTCAATTATTGTAATGGTATGGGGGGTTTATCATTCTGTCCGATGTTCCTTAATTTCGATTGAAGGTAAAAGAACCAGTTCGATACAAGTACCTTTTTTGGATTTTCAGTAAGTATAAAAAGAAAGAGTCGATGCAAAATATACTCAGTGTCTACATAAGAATCGAGCACCTACTTGTATCAAATTCGCAATTCCGTAGAAACGGTATTCGGCCGAACATTTGTATTCAGTAAAACCCACATGGGGTGCATCTCTAGTATTGATTAATATATTTCGCCGTGGCCGTCAAACACTAATATGTTCTATCGAAATAATATGTTCTAATATGTTCTAACGAAAATTAGTGACAGACATAAAATAAACACTAGAAATAAGGACAAACTTACTACGCCATTGTTTCGTCTACAAAAAGTAAATAAGTCGTTCATGGGGCAAGTGTGCGCATGTATAAAAAATCCCACAGTCGATATTAAGTCTGCCGCTTGCCAATTTAAAAGTAAAATTAAAAATCAACTGATGTTAAAGCATTGGAAATCTCGACGACCCAATCAGTTAATACTGTTGATACTCACGTAGGCTAGAATAAGACTATTATACCTGTATATTATATTGTAACCTGATATTTTTGAAAAAGAGCAACTGTTGAGTTCTTGCCGGTCTCTTCTCAACAGAAACCGCTTTCCAAACCGGTGGTACCTTACGAACCTATACACATAATCTTTGATGTAAAATTTGACGATTCATAAGAGCGCGCAAGCGTCTATTTGAATAAATATATTTTTGATTTTGATTTTGATTTTTAATAACAGTCGTAGAACCACACCGCAATTGAAATTTAGATGTTTCTTTATTACAATAGTTTCCAAATCTTATGCAATGGTTGAGGCGATTTTTATCATAATAAATTGTAGTTATTTGAAATAGCCTCAACCCTTCCATCGAACACTTTCAAATAAGTCCTATGACTAATATTGTCTTTACGTCCCGATTGTTTACTTTATATTACTGATTCTTTAACATAAGTACAATGTGACCTGGCAGATTTTATTAACTAAGTTTTTGTTTTTTCTTGTAATTTGTAATTTGCAATTACTAAACTAAGTAGCTCAAGATAAATGGATTATTGGATTATCTTTTGAATTAACCTTACTCGAATCTTAGTTGTGTATTGAGTATGGTGACCTATGATTATTTTTAAAATAGCGTACGTTTCTAAAATTAGCTACACAATACAACATTGTGACGTCTGCTTAAAAACACACGCCTAAATTTGACAGGTATTCCTAATATGGCACCCATAAAGATTAAATGTACGATGGTATTACGTACGTGGACAATAAATAAACAATAAGGAGCATTGTTTAGGAATGTTATCTAAAGTTTTAGTGTTATAAGGCTATTTAAAAATTGAATTTCTGTTGTATACCTATCACTTTGTGCCGAATACTCGTTTGAGAGGGTCAATAGTATTCGTGCTTTTGATATAATTTAGTTGTAAGCGATATAGTTTTATAAAATATGAAGTTATTGTCATAATATCATTAATGTAGCACTTTGAATGAAGGGGGTCGTTGATATCGGATTGGTGATTGATGATAGGTAAACTTTTGTAGACTTTTTTCTACTAAATTAACTTTGATTTTTTTACATAGGACGTGATTTGTGTATGTACATTTATGTTTGTCGCAGGATCAAGATGTGGCGCTATAATTTGATTACAACACCATCTGTTGGTAGCTCTCGTAAACGTCAAGTAGTGCGCTTGAGTAAGGTCGATACTGGAAGTGAGAGAGCGGACTTGACGGTTATGAGTTGTGAAAGTCAATTGACATGGGACACGGGGGTGTGTTCTGGACGTGCTCGGGCACGCCACATAGAAAAAGGGACGGCGGTAAGAACGGTCAT